TCATCGTCATTTTCAGCATGCATGCTGATGGCTCAATACTTGCGTTCGACTCTTCTTGTGTACTTTTTTGTTTGTTTCTTCTTCTTCTTTTCGCTTAAATCCAAATCGAAATTAAAGAATAAAAGCACGATGACATTTGGTATAATTTTATTTGTATACATAATTCGGTAACCGTAAGGAAAGTTCAGGGGGACGGTGTCCCTCTCTCTCTCTCTATCTTTATTTCTAAGCGATGCATTTGTCGAATGGAAAAAAGCGAACCAGATGGATGTATACCCAAACTGCCGCCGACTTCAGATTTCAGGGTTGTGACACGTTTTATATTACAGATAGTTAATGTAATGCCTGATAATACGGCGGTAGGTTTTACTCGGTCCTGTGTGCTGTGCCCTGTATGTATAAATTCATATATATGTCTGCCGAGTGCATACAATAGCCACTTATCAATAGACTAAAGTGGAAATAGTTACAGTGGTTTGGAGAGAGTGCAAAAGAGATAGAGACGTTACGTTGCGAACGTTGACTTTACAACAAATCCACGATTGTATTTAGACCATTCGCTGATTGCTTGGTTTCAGCCGCACACTTACGCCATCCATCTTGTACTTGGCTTTTTGGATTTTTATGTTATTTTTCTTTCTATTTTACTATTTGTACATTTCGTTTTGCCGTTGTTGCCGTCGCCGCCGCCGCCACCACCGCTTTTGCTGCTGCTTTTCTTTCTTTTCATTCATATTCTCTTCGTCTTTTGTTGCGCGCCTCTCTCGAAGTATTTTGGGTCTTTCTTTTCATCCATTCAACTTTCGTTAATAATTTACTAAATAGTCTTTTGTTGTTGTTCGAAGTCGGTGTGCACAATGCAATTCAATATGATACACGAACACATTAATGAATATACGGTTTTCATATTTCATTTATAGTGGATTTTCTCCTATATTACCGCTGTGTGTGTGTGTGTGTGTTTTTTTTTCTGTATTGAATTGCAAACCGAAATTGCTTTTGTTTTTCAATTTGAGATATTGCTGCTGGTGCTGCATTCTCTTGCGTTCAACATTTTGGTACGAGCGAGTATCATTGGAATCATCAACTGAAGCATCTCCTGCAGATGAACATGTATATCCAGAGGGAGAAAAAAATGCATGGCATCTCATGATACTAGAAAATTGCGCATTCAAGTCTTTTTCGTTCGTTGTTGTTCAGTTTGCACTCTTATTTTCTAAAGATTACCTCAGTGCAGAGAAATGATTTGGTTGGAAATGTATGCGCTTGCATTTGATCTATGGTCAAACTTTCTTTCTTTCCATCACATTTTCATACACACATAGATTGGAATACCGATCGCATGCCGATAGTAAATGCATTTTTTTGTATCGGCAACTAACTTAAGTCAGAGACGTTAAGTTAACTAATTGAAACCCTCCTGCAAGCATATGCCATCGGTTGATTTGTCTTTTCAACGTTCTTTTTATTCCATCCATTCAATGCTAGCTTCTAAACTCGAAGTGTGTTGTTTTCTTTTTCTCTTTGTGCTCTCGCTCTTGATAATAATTGATAGAATGCGCTAAACTACTAAACGACTTCGTTTACATGGACGTTCTTCCATTCGATAATGACGGATAATAGAATAAATTATGGGTGATTTATTAGATCACATTGCTTTTAATGTTGCAATCGAAGCGATTATGTTTGATTTTAGACCAATGAAACGTCATTACATTCACCAATTCGATGTCATTTTGAAGCGAGACAGAGCGCGCGCCATATCAATACCAGATTCATGAAATATTTTACTCATAAACATACAGACGGCTCGCTTTGATTTCTTCTGGTGCATGACATTCCAAAAGTGCGACACAAAAAGTCCGTTCCCCTCCGAAATTTCGTTTACAACCGCAATATTTTCTATTCTTGTTTCTTTTTCTCGTTTCTATGTATATATTTCTACTATCTTAATAACTAATTTTCCGGCAGCTCGCTAAAGAACCTATTTTTTTTATTTTCAAGTACTCGGACAAATTGGTTTGCTACAGTAATTGCCGTTCGTGTGAATGTTCATTTTGAATGAGTGCATATGATGTTATGTATTTAAAGCATTTAAAAAAACATGTATTTTCGTCGTGTGTGTCTGTGTGAACGTGAGCTATGATTTGAACGAAACACAAACAAATCAAACCACACTCGAAAGTCGCTATTTGAAAGCACCACAAAAATTCCGCGGCTTATAGTTTGAAATAAGATATATATTTCGAATATGTATAATTGTGCTAACTTGAAAGTCGCGCACATCATCAAACTGTGCTCACTCTCTATCTCTCTATCGCTGTTTAGAAATACAAACGTTATCGTCTATCACAGCCATTACGGAAGACCGAATACAGTGCACATTGCACACTGCATACTCGCTGTCGTTGTTGTTGTGTGTTTCATTTGAAATTTTGTTCGCTACGGTTACACAGTTTCGACTGAGCTAATCATTCATAAACAGTTTAGTGGCATTGTCGTCAAATGCATAGAGTGTGTACAGCAAATATTTTTTCTAACCGTTGAAAAATCAAGTGAGCGCTTTAAATTCGATCACAAGCGATTGAGAAAAAAAAAACACACACACACTCACAAATCCTTGAGAACGAAAGAAAAAAAAGCAGCAATTTAATTGTTCACTTGATGCAGTCGCTCGAATCGAAGTGTTCCTAACCTTTGTGTAATCTTGAAAACTAAGTAACATATTGTTAGGAATTACAATAATTTGTCTTCAATACTTGAGTTCGCATCGATGCAGCTGAATGATTCACGAAGTGCACGCGAGCGAGCGAGCAAGCGCTTAATAATATCCAGTAAAAATGACATCTCCATTCGCAGTGCTCAAGTTGATTTCGTCCACTTGTTGAAATGACAATTTAAAGACATCATTCCGAATGAACAACAGCAAAAACAACGGCAACAACAAATGACAGAGTACCGAGATGAAACAGAAATGAAGGCAATGTAAGACAGAAAAAAAGAAGAAGCACGAAACAGAAATCATTCAACGTTACACTATAGATCGCATAGCGTTCCCCATTCTTTAAGACATTTTCTACTGCATTGACCACACAATAGAAAACTTCATTATATATCAAAATTACGATATATAAATTTCCTCGTCATTTTTCTTTTCCGTTTTGTGAATTCGAGAATACTTTTCTGTGAAAGCCGCAAGCATTGATTCGATTCGCGAGAGAGGAAAATAAAAAAAGCAACGACAATAACAACGAAGACGACGATGCCAAGCAAGCAACAAAAAAAATGAAGTATAGTAATTCAATGATGTTGCAACGAATAAAAGAAAACCAACAACCCAAGAATAATTCATCAACAGAATTGAACTGATTTGTGCCTTTGAATGGCTTTAATAACTGTATAGTGTACACATAGCATATTATTTTTGTTGCTTCTTGATTTTTCTTTTTTTGCGTTCAAATCTAATGAAAAAAAATAAAAAATAAAAAAAAGAAGAGGAAGAAATGAACATTGCACGAGTAACGGGGCAACAATCATTAAATTCACAAAGTTTTCAATGGAGAGAGAAAATAAGTGTGTCATGTTGCGATTTCGTTTGTTTCAAAGCCACTTTGAGCGTACTTTGGCAAGTGGACCACGCTGTTTTATTGGTTTAACGGAAAACGCGAGCACAGCAGCAGCAGCAACAGCAGCTAGTACACCAAATCAAGCCAACCTCACTCGATATGTGTGCACGATATGACACAAGAGACGAACAATCGAACCAATTGATCTGATTGTGGACGCCGAGTGTGAGTGCTGTTAGCTGTCTGCCACAATTTTTCAACAAACATTTTGACACAAATCCTAATTTAGACAATTTTTATTCGGGCCCGTACAAACAATCCCGTACATTTTTCGCACAAACAATCAACAGGCCATTTTGACTTTAGGCCGTATGCCGTTTGAAATCATCTCCCCACTGACTGATTCATCAAATGAATCAAACTCAATGGCATATTTATAAAACACGCTGGTGATTATTCTACAGCAGCAGCAACATGTGTCGCATTTAGTCCCATCCTGTCCCAATGCAAACAAACAAAAACACCATTTCACCATTCGAATGAATCACATCAATGTTTATGTCATGTCACTTCCGAGACACACACACACTCTTGTCATACACATGTTGAAACTGTGTTCGAATCAATGTTTTTGATTCGAGATGTCATCAACGTGTATGTATATAGATTTTGTTGGAAATTATGTTAATTAATTTGGTATTTGCCACACATTTTTCACCTATATTGCATCTACTATCGTTCGATCACTCTGTCAATCTTGGCTAGAACAGTTTCTCAATACGATATTATTCGAAATAATAACATTCGAAAGTTAGTCGAAAAAACGAAGCAACTGAAGAAAAAAAGCAACAACAACAACAACAGCAAACGGTCATGGCGGGAACGATAAGAACTGAAATGAATCGGTCGGCCAGCGATCTCATGCATTGTTGTGTTCGAATGCGAATGAACGGAATAATGCCTAATTATGAATTCGTATCGAGAAAAACGTAAGAGACGTGCACGGTACAAAGCTATCCTCGCCAATGCGTACCCTTATATAAATTTAAATGTATGTAACCGATGTGTATCAGCCACTCAGCTCAAATGTATTGGACGTCCAGTAACCGAGTCTGATATATTCAATTCAATAAATTGAAATGGGCCTTTTTCCCGCTCAAGAGAGTGAAACAAAAAATCATCAACTTTTTTCTCTCTCCGTGTGTGTTTGTGTGTGTGTGGGTGTGTGTGTAATAATCAGACTTGTTATGTTTAATCATCGTTTTTTTTCTGTTTCATTTATTTGTATAATTGAATGATCAGTTTTCCATTTCATTGAAAAGGCAAAACAAAACGAACGAACAAAAAACCAACCATCGAATTCAATTTCTTTCTCTCTTTTAAATTGATTTATTAATTATTTGGATAAAAATGGTAATTTGTGTCTCTTTACAGATTTGTTCGACAGATAGCACACGTATGTGAGAATAGCAGTAGACCTTGCCGAGACCATCCAACGTATGAAAACGACCGATACAGCAACAGTTATAGTTCTGAGTGCTTTGATTTGTGTGTGAAAGTGAAACGTATCAAAACGAAAAGATCGGAAATTCAGTGAAGTGAAGAGTGAAAACATATGAGACATCCACATCGAAGTGGATTTCGCTTCAAAAAATGAGTCGATTTTGAAAGCATGACATAACCCCGTTGCATATTTCCGATTCGAATTTTTGTTGAACGATGAAGAGAATGCATGCCTGTGAATCATATGATTACAAACAGAAGTGAAGAAGATCGAAAACAACGCCAACGGAGACAATTGATAGAAACAATTTGAAAACAAGGGAAAAGAAAAGAAAAATAAAACGAACCCACTCATATTGAACGTGCAAAAGGAAGTGCAACGAACAGTGTACAATATTTCATCGGCGATCATTTCCATTCAACATTCAACAAATCATCGTGTTCCAACCGCACAATTTTTCACAACAACAGCTAAAGCAATTTTTCACAACAACACACAACATTCGTGTCAAAATGCTGATACCATTGAACATTCTTTAAATGACTGCGCAATTTCATTCTAAATGGAGGATTTAAAGCATTCCACGACTAAATTAAAGCAAACGGATTACGAGGTGAGATTATTTTGCCCGCTTCTCTCTTTATCAACAGCATTCTGTTTCTGTTATTTATTTTTTTCTACCTAACACAACACATTTAATTTCGATCGAACGTTTCACTTGTGGATTTGTTTCGGGTTCCATTATACACGTGTATATCAGTACAGTTGTGTACGATAGTGCAATCGTTTGTCGAATAATATTCCGAATCTTATACCTCTTATTCGACTTTCACTTTTGTCGAGATAAATAGATATAATTTTCAGTGAATTATTCATTTGGTTCGGTCTGCATTGCATTCGACCTTGATCCTTCTACAGAGTTGTTCAGGTACAAGCCTTGGTAGATGTTTCTATCGTTTCTTTGAGTTTTCAACATACAATTCGCTTCAACTCCATCAGCTTAAGGATAAGTTCGTCTGTCCGGGAAACAAACCGCCTTGGCATTTCAATCATTTGTCCGAATAAATTAATTATCACGAAGAATTTGTATCCGTGTTTATTGGGTGTTTATAAATTGGTTGAGGTGGAAAATTCAAATTCGACCAAAATAGAGCTCATATTGGGTAGTTAACCCCAATTCTATGGTCTGGAGAGGAGTTGCGCATATTATATTTTATAACGGAGTTAAGTTATTCAGACGAAATCAAACGGTCATCACGTCACTAAATATTTTTAAAGATAAATGTAGAAAACATATTATAGAAAATTATACCATACTGTGAATTGGACTAGGGAATGGTTGTGAAAGAATTATTGTAAAACAATAAATAGAAAAATTTTAATTGTAAAAAACACAAAAGAGCTTCGGCTAGTAATAAATATCATATCATATTGGTGGATGTTAGTGATGCTATAAGTATGAAACGGGGATGAGAATCAATCGAATTAGATTTGGGAATTTTGTTCGAGACATGCATTGGATTGCTAAGTAAACGTCAATCAATCGAACTTTATGTGAGAAAACTCGAAACACAAATGTAATTTATTCCCATCATTTCTTGATCGACTCTTTAATCTGAGAATTAATTCTACACGTCATAGAGCTTGCGCCTGAAAAAAAGCTTTAGACCAACGCCGCATCAGAATGATTGTAGGCAAATGAATCATTCGTCGTGAGTATTCAATTCAAATGTGATGAAATGGGCAGACAATCTGCCGTTTTCCGTGTAACAAAGCCATTTCCATTGCATGAATATAATGACGAATAATATTTACAACATCTGTGTGTGTGTATGTGCGCATCTCTATAACATTGCTCCTATTGAAAGATAAAAATAACCACGGCAATGACATTGACAATGATGGCAATATGCTTGCTTCATTGTACATCATAACGATTGTGCTGTGGACATCCCATAAATGATACGTGCTTTTTTACTTAGCCGCCTACAAGACAAAACGTGCATATAATTAGTTAACTTGCATCGTTGTTGTCGTGATCGTCGTCGTCATCGTCGTTGCCGCATGAAGGTTAACCATTTCCCGTTTTTTTTCAAATTGATATTCTCATTTGGCGCAAAATCATTATTTCTTTTTTGTCCTTTAAACGAATTGATCAACATACACAACTCCGATGAAAACTCACTCGGCCGTTGGAAGAATGATACCGAAAAATGGGAGTAAGAAGCATACAAATAGATTTCGAAAACAAAACCATCTCTGTTGAGGATTGCCCTGTTGTGCAATGTGCACTATCTGCCAGTGCAGAATATTTTTTATTCAATTTATTTAATGGTTATTGAATCCGCTTTTTGTTTGTGACTGCAAATGTCACAAATGACGTGATGAAAACTGGCGCAACAGCATGTCGAGTGAAAAATATAGCGGGAAAAACATCCACAAAAAAAACTTCCACAAAAACACAATGGAAAGTGTACATGATGAAAAACAATAACGATTAAAGCCATTAAAAACATTAAAATTGAAAATTGCACGCTAAATAATGCTTAATTAGCAACTTTGACTTTTCCCTCGAAAATTTCCATACGGTTCTTCCATTTTCACAAACAATACGGGCAGAACAGTGCCGTCTTAGCCTGGAAGCGAATGAAGCAGCCGCAGAAAAGGCCCTTGAAATATTAAGAGAAAATCTTATTAAAGAAAATTGAAAACAAAACACAATAAAAATACAAAAGTTCTCAAATTTATTTCAATCTTCGTGGTTTGTTTACTGTCTACAAAACAGATGATGCGCGTGACGACGCCGTGGAAATGGTTTTGGCCCTATTTTTAGCGTAAATAAAATCATCAATTATTTCATCGAAGTCCAAATTATTCAAAATTTCACATTCAACCACTGAGCAGAAACGATTGAATGTCAAATAAGAATGAGTAATCAAAGAATTTCAACTGCAAGACGAAAAATGTCATATACATACATATATTTCGCCTTATTTGTTGTTTCTGTCTTACTTTTTTAATGTAAGTAGTGTGGCTCACTTTTTAATAGAATGGTCAGTGGTATAATTGTTTACATATCAAAATATAAACAGTTTATCGATCAACCGGTTGAGCGAAAATCTTTATTGCTAAGTATGGTTGACTCTTCGAGACGAATGTAATTAAACATAGAGGGAGAATAGAGACAACGATAGGTTTCGTTTGTCAATTCGAATTGGATGTTGAGTCACATATACATTCGTATGAATAAGATCGTTCATGTCCAGCAGTATTGAGCAGTAATCAAAAAATAAATGAAAAACGGCATAGTTTAATAACTCTGAATTCATCTTTTTGAATTTAATCGAAATTGGCGCAACCTTCAAAATATTGAATTTTGTGCTATTGAGAAGAATATTTAGGGCCCCGGAAATTTTTTGCTTCAGGGCCCCCGAAAGTGCTAAGACGGCACTGGGGCAGAACACTTGGTACGCGTCATCATTGTTGTTGTTGTGGAAAAATATGGGTTTTATTTTTTCTTTCTCTGTTTAAAATGAAAATGACCGTGTCTCTGCGTGTGTGTGTGTGAGAGAGTGAGTCTGTTTGGTTGTTCGCTGGAGAGATATTTTATATACATATTATTTTTATTTATAGCATATGGTTCATCGAATTTTCGTTTATGTACATCGAGTTGTGTTTTTATTTTCTTCTCTCCTGTCGGTTTAAGGGAATGAGTCAAATAAATTAACCTATGTAAAATTGTACATGGGATATATGCTTTCATGCACGCATTAGCACATACTTCTTTTCAAGAGGAATGAAAGGAATTTTTGTGTGCGTTCGCTTCGCACCATTATCGCACATTGGGTTCATCTATAATTTTTCATATATGCAAACTTCTTATCAATATTGTGCCATGATATTAAATCACATACTCACGTCGAGAAAATGAGCGAAAAAAAAACTTAAAAGAAAAAAGATGAATACAAAAACAGCGGCAAAAAGAAACATGAATTTTCTGATGGATGTTTGTTTGAATTGCATTAAATGTTCGGTGGAAATGTTGGCGTAGAGTGCATATGTATGGAGAAGAAAAAAATAATCTGTTATGAAAATATGCGATCCATTCATAAGAGACAGGTTGGGTCGGTTAACTTGAAAAGCTTAAATTGATCGCAAACTTAAGTTCAATTGAATGGTTTGGAGCGAAAATGTAATACAGAAAATATGAGCGGAAAAATATCTATGATGAATGAGCGGAAAAGGGATAGCTATATAGTAAACCTTATAGTAAACTATAGTGAACTATATAGCTATCCCTTTTTATTTGACATTTTTCCGCTCAACTTTTCTGTATTACATTTTTGCTCCAAGACATTCAATTGAGCAAAGCAGTGTGTGTTTTTATTTGTGTTTTCGTAGGAGGTGAAATAAATGTGAGTGTATTTTGCTCTGTTTCTGCCACATATGAATAGATCTCGGTGCAAAAAAGTTCGTTGGCGGTAAAGGATAGTGCAAATTTCCTGTCGCCATTAAAGTGTCGTAGGTGCCAATCGAGCAATATGAATGGAATATTTGCATTTACCTCAATGGCATACAATATTACGAGCATTATGTGTTCGACTTCCATATTTCTGTATGCGGCCCGGCCCGGCCTTTCTTTTTCTACATTTCGGCCGATCTTCGTCATATCTTTTTCACTATAGCTTGAACGAAATAGCAAAAATAGAATAGTTAGCAAATTATACATTGTATCCTTGGGTCATTTTCATATTTGAATCAGTCGACGATGCTAATAATGTTGCTGTTCGCATACAAGCCGCTACGATTATGTATACGCATGAAAAAACGGAAAATAGCACAATCTATAAACCGATGAACGAACGAACGAACGAATGAACGATACACACAAGCATCAGCAAAACAGTGAGACCGTTGAGGCAACATACTCGAACTGGAAGCCTTGCTCCATTCTCTCTCGCTCACTCGCTCTCTCTCACACACACACGCGCTCAATGTTTTTCTCGCAATAAGCTGGCAGAAGAATTATATACACTCCATTTTACATGTACATATATGTATACGAATCAGAGAGTATCAACGCGTGGGTATATGTTGTTAAAATGTGTATTTTTATCAATTCAGCGCGTAATTTTCAAGAGCAATATCAGCAGCAGCAACATAGCATAGTAGTTTAAAATCATAACAATTCCAACATGACATCGAGTTTCGCACGATGTGCATAGCTGTGTGGTCGACACAAAGGAAAACCCTCCGAAATTTCGCTTCCAAAGTGTATGTGCTTTTGCGTGCGTGAAGTGTGTTCGTGTTTTGGGAAAACTGTGACTTTTTTTTCTCTCATTCGCTTCTTTTCGGTGTAGATTTTTTTTCGATTTTTAGAAAGGGACAGTTCCACATATAGTTTCCAAAAGTCTAAATTTGTTGAAGAGAGTTGCCAATATTTCGAGTTGACTTGGTCAGAAGGAGATAAAATTAACGTTGAATTGGTTGATAGCTTGGAGTAAATGAGTTGCTTTGTTTTTATGTCAGTGATAATAATCAATAATGAAAAATTACGAGTTTAAAGCTATATATATACTGTCTTTGACTTGAAAAAATTCTAATTCACATCATTTGAATTGCATTTTACCTCTTATCTTTCATTTCAATAAGGAAATCAAATGCATAGTTCATATGAGCAATAACAAACTACATTGTGTTCTTTCGAAATAATTTTTTTTCTGCCCATATCGACCCGATCATACCGAGAAAAAAAACGAAACCGATACGATAAATTGTGTTCAATATAAAGCCAATATCTGGGTATGGAGATGAATCTTCGAAAAATAGTCAGTGTTGAAGCAAAAGTTGCGAGAATTTTGTGACTTTGTTCAAATCAAATGGTATTCTGGAAATTCGATTGAGAGAAAAGAGAGTGGGAAAAAAACAGAAGGAGCAATGTTAAAGCATTATTATGTATCGCCGAAGAAGCGGTCAAAGTCTCAGAGCTCGGAAATGAGCGATGGAAGTGATACAGCGACATCGTGCATCGAGCATCACGAGTATTTGAATGATTTTGTCCGTGCGACGAAGATTATTTCACGAAAGGCATTCCACAGTTTCCATGAGATTACATCGAGCGAGCCGAATGTTAGCATTGCAACATCGCATGCTGGCTTCATGCAGGCCACGGTGTCGGCTTCATCGTCCGGCGATCCAAATGATCCTGAGCACAGTTCGGAAAACACGACACCCATCCAAACACCACAAAAATCATATGAGACACGCTTAACTCGTATGCGATTGGCACATGCATTCAACAATGCTGTTACATATAGTCGGAGCCGTTTGGCCCATTTACCAGCCGGAGCCAGTTTCTGTGCAGCTCACATGTAAGGGAGTAACACTTAGTGCTTAGCGAAAAGTTGAACAAAAACAAAAACAGATTGATAAGTTTAATCGAAATCATGCGAGTGGGCGACGCGGTGCGGGCGTGCGAAAATGACCAAATGCATTTGGTCGTTTCGCTTTCACCGATTCGCCATCCGCCAACGATTTTTCTTAGAAAGCAAATACGCACGACTCGAACTCATTTTTTCTCAATACGAACTTATGTTTTTTCTTTGTGTGTTCACCCATGGTAAAGTAGTGCCCATGGCGGACTGGGGCACATAGACACTACGACCACGTCAGGACTCATCCCACCCGTTCGCCGATGGAACTCGTTCCATTCAACACGCGGTGAATGTCACCCGAATAAATTTCGACGAGAACGAAAATCCACATCACCTTCAATCGTGTAAGCATTCGAGAGCCCAACATGACAAATTCTGTGTGTTAAATTCTACTCTCTGTTTATCTTTTACGTACATATACAGTTACTCACAAAATTGTTCGTACACCTTGCTTTTCCGAACAAAATGCCATTTTTTCATTAATTTTCGTGACAAATGAATTGTATAAGCACATGATTGTAAAAGACTAACTCTTTTAGCAGATATTCATGTATATATTTGACATAAATATTGAACACATAAAAAAATTGGGACCAAATATGTGGAAGTGTCGCTTTTTGGGTCTCACAAAATTGTTAGTACACTGAAGTTTATGGGCATTTTTTCAGTAGATATCCAATATATTTACAGTGAACCGAATTTGGAATCATTTTTGTGATCCTCTACCATCAATTTGACACATTGGTTATAGCAAAAATATCACTCTCTAATCCAGATGGCGCCACCAAAATAGTGAAATGTCGAAAATGGTCCATTTTGCTAGTCACCACCCCAGAATATAGCACTCACATTATTTTTTACCACCCAAATCTGCTTGAACGCATTGAATACCTTAAGATCTTCGACATTTAGTATGACTTTTCCCATTTTTTCAATAATACTGGTTCATTTGTGTGGTCAGTTTGAGCATTTTGGTAGAAAATGCTTATCGAGGCCTCACCAAAGGGCCGCTATGTACCCTAAGGTAGCAAATTTTGGCCTCATATCGGTGGCTATGGATTGGTCTTGCAACGCCACACAAATGATTCCTACCAGTGATTTCGAATTTTAACAATGGGTATGCTTTTTTGGAGCATTAACATCTGATTTGTTGAATATTTAACGAGTTATATGGAAATTAGCGAATATTCAACAAATCAGATGTTAATGCTCCAAAAAAAGCATACCCATTGTTAAAATTCGAAATCACTGGTAGGAATCATTTGTGTGGCGTTGCAAGACCAATCCATAGCCACCGATATGAGGCCAAAATTTGCTACCTTAGGGTACATAGCGGCCCTTTGGTGAGGCCTCGATAAGCATTTTCTACCAAAATGCTCAAACTGACCACACAAATGAACCAGTATTATTGAAAAAATGGGAAAAGTCATACTAAATGTCGAAGATCTTAAGGTATTCAATGCGTTCAAGCAGATTTGGGTGGTAAAAAATAATGTGAGTGCTATATTCTGGGGTGGTGACTAGCAAAATGGACCATTTTCGACATTTCACTATTTTGGTGGCGCCATCTGGATTAGAGAGTGATATTTTTGCTATAACCAATGTGTCAAATTGATGGTAGAGGATCACAAAAATGATTCCAAATTCGGTTCACTGTAAATATATTGGATATCTACTGAAAAAATGCCCATAAACTTCAGTGTACTAACAATTTTGTGAGACCCAAAAAGCGACACTTCCACATATTTGGTCCCAATTTTTTTATGTGTTCAATATTTATGTCAAATATATACATGAATATCTGCTAAAAGAGTTAGTCTTTTACAATCATGTGCTCATACAATTCATTTGTCACGAAAATTAATGAAAAAATGGCATTTTGTTCGGAAAAGCAAGGTGTACGAACAATTTTGTGAGTAACTGTATATTACATTCATATCGAAAAACAAAACAACAACTACAACACATACCGAAATTTATACATATGCAAAGTGAAACCAAACGATGAGTTTCACTTTTCAAGACAAAATACAACACACACACACATATATATATAACAAACAAAACCAAACAATGGAAGAAGAAACAACATTTTGTTTTGCTTGTGTAAATAAAATTGTTTTTGAACTTCTTGTTTCTTTCTTTCAATCCTCCGTAATGTTTTTATCAGATTTAATTGGTCCTTCTCATTTTTCTCTCGACTCTCTCTCTCTATCTCTCTCCCCCTATCTCTCTCTCTCTCAATGCATCTCTCTATACATCCTATCTATCAATGATTGAGTTCGTTGAATTCGTTGTTGAATTTAGTAGTTGTTTGATTGGTCAATGTATTCGACTTGACCCAAATGTTTGCTAGCGTTTTTTTTTCTCGTCGATATTCAATTTACTTCTTTTCTTTCCGAATCAGAATTTATACTACTTAAAACTGAAATTAACTTTAAGAGGTGTACTTGAAATTTAATTGGCGTAGTTAATTTTAACGTTAATCTCATATATCTGTTTTCAATGAAAATTGTTACCTCAAATTGTTGTTGTTGCTGTTTCCGAATAAACTGCATTAGAAACGATCAAAATGAATGTTAGAACTTGTCTTGCAAACGAAAAAAAACAAACCGTGTTAAAGAATAAAAGACCACCACAAATGTTGCTCACTTTTTTTCTGGATTCTCTTATTTCCACACCTCTCTATTTCTCTTTGATTTCACATGTATTGAGTCGATTTTTGAGCAATAAACGGAAGCCTGAAAAGGGCTTGAAAAGAATCACATTTCATTTGTTTTGTTCTAAATGTGACATGTGATATTGTTGGCCGTTGCTCAAAGATTGAATCAAACCTACACACACAATCACCCTAGAATCGTTTTCGAAATGATAAATTGCGTAATAACAATGGTAACCAATCTAAAGAAGTTGACTTCAATATCCGTAGGTCATATGACTAGACGGGTATAAGTCAATCCATCTTGGGATTATATGTAAGAGCGAGCAAATTTTTTCGGACGAATGAAGTCAAGCTCGTACCAAAAAACAAAAAAAAAACAAAACAGAAAATTTCGTTTTCATTATTATCTAGAAATTAAGGTATTTGTTGTTTTTCACAAATAACTCCAAGGTTATTAACAGTTCCAGTTGGCATGCAATACAAGCTCATCGCAACGTTTTATCGTTAATTTGCGTATGGGTGTAGTATGTTCACAATTCTTATCATTGGTCCTTGTGTTTCCTTGAAGAAAATTTGCTTGTTTGGGTGTTTGACCACATTTATTCCCTTCTAGCGTATGAAAATAAAATAAAAAAAAACAGCGTAAACATAAACACACCACTCCCGCATTCTTGATTTATGTGAAAATGTTCACCAGAAAACACTATGAGAATGATCCAAATAGGTGTAAAATTGAATGAAAATTTCCTGATGTTTAGTTGAATTCCTATATCTATTAATTGTGAAGAAGGAAAATAAATCACTTAGAACCCCTGCCATTATGAATCCGTACAGTAAGGTCAGAGGAAGTCAATACGTTTTTTTCTACTTATTTATATGTACGTGTGTTATGAATGACAACCTCCTGTCGACCACCCAAAAAAAAAAAAGATTTATGCTCATGAAACTACCTTCTTTTGCACTTGCGTACCTTTCCCACAAAAAGCAATTAATTTGTTTAACCCACACACACACACACACACACACACACACACACACACACACACACATTTAATGGATCCAAGCAAGTGGACATCTTTTCGAACAGCAAGATACATGTACTGTAGAGAAACTTTTCTTCCCGATTGTCATCGCATGCACGAAATTTCGTTCATTTGTATTTTGATGTTTCTTTTTCATTGTTCTCGTCAGCAAAATTTTGTTTTTTTTCTTCTATTCTTTGTTTAAGGTTGTGATTTTCATCTCAATTTCACATTGATGTTGTTTTCAGTGGTTTTATGTTTCAATGTGTCTCATTTAATCATTTGGTACCTTTCTATTCGTTTTCGTTTCACATATTAAATATTTATAATAGGATAGATATAATTTTTATTCTCTTTGTTGATTGGCCAAGAAATTGATGACATTTCATTCATTTAATTTCTGTTTCTTTGAACTTGAATCGTTTCGTTTTTGTTTTTTGTTTTTGCTGTGTATCTTTTCCATTTTCTGTTATGACTATGCAAATGCAAATTAAGCTCAAATCACATACGAAAAACATTTATTCCATTAAATTTTTTGTTGTGGATTTTATGAGTTTTGATTTAGATGTTCATATGCATACTACTAGTATATGTGTTGAAGACATTTCGTGAAAGAGTGCTTTATCACATGTTTCTTGCTTGAAATTTTCCGTGTGTTTCACAGTATTAGCAGGAGGAATGGTGATGGTTTTCGTCAGCTGAGTGAGTGTTTCGTGTCCGAGACACAGGAAATACTAGCTGTAAGTCGTATTTCAAATAAATTTGCCTCCCCCTCCCCCCACCACATTTTCATTGTTCTTAAACAAAACATTTCGAAGAAGAAGAAGAAGCAAAAGTCGCTAAAAATTCGCAATTCATTCGCCTTCGTTATACAGACAGACGAATCTGAAATAGGTAGTGTAGCAGCAGAAGCAGCATCCAAAATCGACGATTTAATTAGAAACGATAACGGCGACGAAGAAATAGAAGACGTCGACGATATTGATGCAATAATTGGTGTTGCAATTGTAAGCCATCCCAAATGATACTAAACAAACACAAATCATTTGCCTGAAAAATCTTTATATAGTCTTCCTCACCCCCTTTCACTCCTCTTTGTTGCCGTGATAATAGCTATTTCACCTGATAATGCATTCTGTTTTCATTTTGTTTCTTTAGTCTTCATTTTTGTCTTGTTTTTTCGTTCGTTCAAATTGTCTACCACCGTTGTCTAGCATTACTGTCAATCGAAGTTCATGTGTTTTTTTCCTTTATTGTTTTGAGTTCAAAACAAAAAAAATTGTATCTCACACTATCGACAGCAAACAATGAACTGAGCGAATTTTGTCTTTTCTTTTCTAAAATTGAATTAGCCCAAACCGAAAATCATGGACCCACCGCAACACCACACGCTGCACTCATCGCAGACAGCTCTATCGGCAAATGTCAAGCGGGTAAGGTTTTATCATTTTTCCATGATCAACTATGGAGTGTGGTTTTTCTTTATTGTTGTCAAGTCATAGAGACTCTGTTCGTAGACTTGGACTGTAGTGTTTGATTTTTTTGTTTTCTCACTCTTTGTCTCTGCCAAGATGTTGTGCCTAGAACGTTATTGCTTTAGATCTTTGATTTGGTCGTTTTTAGTGTCGCCCATACATTGCTTGCGTGTTGAGTATTTAATTTATAATCATTTGTTTGATCGGTTCAAAACCGATTCAATTTTTTTTTGATTTTGTATTTTAGCTTCTGCATTTGTGATAACAAAACAAATCATTTATTCTATCCCATTCATTTTGGGATTAGTAGTAAAAATTATTTGAAATCTTAGCTAACTGTCCTATGATTTATTTCAATTGCAGTTTGGCGGCGGCCGACCAGAATTATACCAAAAGTGCAATCGCGGCTCCCATTCAAGTGACACGAGCTCAGCGTATAGTGGATCAGACACAATGACATCAGTACATAGTTCATCGTTAGATGCCGATGAGGTGGACCTCTCGGGCTTAGTGGAATCGGTGGTCGATTCGGATGAGGAAGATTTGGCAGAAAGCATGGATGTAAGTCAAACAAACGTACCTAACTGGTCAAATGAAAATAGCCATTGAACCAAATGACAATTTCGACCAACCTAGTATCCCAACTGATTACAACTAATCGATTAAAACAGACATTTTGTTATCATTTCCAGAGTTTAGCTGTGCGTGATACGGTTCGTGAGTGCTTAGAAAAGGATCCAACCGATCGGACGGAGGAAGACATAGAAACGTTGCTTGAATTTACGAAAAACCTGCAGGCATTCACAAACATGACATTAGCTGTAAGACGAGCATTGTGCTCGGTGATGGTGTTTGCGGTGGTTGAGAAGGCCGGCACAACGGTGATGAATGATGGTGAGGAGCTTGATTCGTGGAGCGTGCTAATCAATGGCCACGTTGAAGTTGAATATTCAAACGGTGAGACGGATGAGCTGCAAGTTGGTGATAGCTTTGGTATACTGCCAACAATGGATAAACTGTATCACAAAGGAGTGATGAAAACCAAATGCGATGACTGCCAGTTTGTGTGCATCACACAAACCGACTACTATCGTATTCAACATCAGGGTGAAGAGAACACAAAACGGCACGAAGAAAATGGACAGCTAGTTATGGTCACTGAGCTACGGCATGGTACGATGGAAGGCAGTGTACGTCGTGGACATGTCGTTATTCGGGTAACTATTCAATCATTGCAGCAATTAAAAAATATGTTTGTCAATAAGTGGTGGTTTAATTGTGATGATTCTGATTTTGAAATCCTAGGGAACACCGGAACGTTTAATGGTTCAGTTGATCGAGGAGAATTCCATGACAGATCCAACATATGTGGAGGACTTTCTGTTGACCCACCGCACATTCATTCCATGCGCGCAGAACGTACTGCGACAATTGTTGCAATGGTTCGAAAGTGAATCAACGCATCCCGCCCAAACGACTGCGACGCCAATACAAATTCGCGACCGAGTCACACGTGTGATTCTGTTATGGGTAAATAATCATTTTACGGATTTCGAAACAGATCAGATGATGATGAAATATCTGGAACAGTTCGAAAATGGTTTGGAGAATAAGAATATGCATGAACAATTACATTTGCTACATATCGCGTGTGCGGCCAAAGCTCGAACTCGAGTTGTGACACTGGCACGATCTTCGCGCGACGAAGACCTACACTTTAGTATTATTGGTGGCTATGAGAAGGGTGGATGCGGCATTTTCATATCAAATGTCGATAAGAAAACCAAACCCGAGGATGTCGGATTGAAGCGGGGCGATCAAATTCTCGAAGTGAATGGCAACAGTTTTGAACATATGAAATTGGCCCGGGCACTTGAACTGATGACTGGCACAACACATTTGTGCCTGACGGTCAAAAGCAATTTGCTTGCATTCAAAGAAATGCTACAAACACCCGACAACAATTCACCACGCCCAAGATCCAGCCGACGAACGATGGCTTCTTCCGAATTGGCACGATTGCACTCGCAGAATAGTCAACGTGTCCGATTATCTTCCGCCGATATTCTAACGAGCTCATCACAATTCGACCAAACCGATTGTGCTTCCGTAACAAATATCGATTCGTCATCGGTTCATATGCCATTCTCATCGAATCTTCCACCGACGGCAGCGAAAAAAGACTCGGCCACTTCCATATCATCATCGCAAATTGTACCGCCGTCTTCAGCAAGCAAAAGTGGCAGCGGCTTCATGACCCTCGGGCCAAAACGTCGCTTACAAAAAGCTCTCATCAAAATGAATCTGTATCCGAAAAATGCTGGCGCTGCTCTCCTTCTCGATACAGACGATCAGGAAACGCAATCAGCTAGCTCATCGCCCATATCCACGACATCGCCCTCAAATGGCCCAGGTATTTTACATTTGATTTTGAATTCATTTTTTTTTAGTTTCAAGCAAAGTATTTATTCTGAAACATGTCTCTTTGTTTACTTAGCCACCACAATAACAACCCCAACGCCAACCGGTTCGATCGGATCAAATTGTTCGATAGCCACATCAACAACATCATCGCATACGGGTGATTCAGCCTCATTAGCCAATGTTAGTGCAACAAACAAAACCAGCGGTAGCAATTTATACCATTCACAAAGTAATCCAGACTTAACAACGATCTATTATGAGGATTTGCGTGTATCCGACTATCCCGAGCATGTGCTCAAAGTGTACAAGGCTGATCAGAGTTGTAAATATCTGCTGGTACACAAAGAAACTACCGCCCATGAAGTGGTCATGTTGGCATTGCAAGAGTTTGGCATCCATGAGACTAGTTCAAATTTTTCACTGTGTGAAGTGTCGGTTGGCGACGGTGGTATGATCAAACAACGTCGTTTACCCGATCAGCTACAAAATTTGGCCGAACGCATCGGTTTGGCGGCACGATATTACCTTAAGACAAACGGTATTACAGAAACACTTGTACCTGATGACATGGCGCCGGAACTGGTACGCGAATCGGCTGTCCACTTTTTACAGTTGAATGCAAATGAAGTGGCCATTCAATTGACCGTTCAAGATTTTGCAATCTTCCGCCAAATCGAATCGACAGAATATGTTGATGATTTATTTGAAATCCCGAGCAATTACGGTGTGCCAATGTTGAAACAATTTTCCGAACTAGTCAATAGAGAAATGTTTTGGGTTGTGACCGAAGTGTGTAGCGAATACAATATGGTCAGGCGAATGAAAATTGTAAAGCAATTTATTAAAATTGCCCGCCACTGCAAAGAATGCCAAAATTTCAATTCAATGTTTGCAATATTGTCGGGTTTGGGCCATGCGGCCGTATCACGATTGCGTCTGACATGGGAGAAATTGCCATCGAAATATCAAAAACTATTCAATGACTTACAAGAGCTCATGGATCCATCACGGAATATGTCGAAATATCGGCAGCTTGTGTTGACTGAACTCAACGAACAGCATCCAATCATTCCATTTTATCCAGTTGTTAAGAAGGATTTGACATTCATTCATCTGGGTAACGATACATACGTGGAAGCGCTAGTTAATTTCGAGAAATTACGTATGATTGCTAAAGAAATACGTAGCTTAACGCATATGTGCAGTTCACCATACGATTTACTCACGATGCTCGAGCTCAGAGGACAACCGCCCAGCTCGGCCATGGTGGCACTCAATCAAATGGTACACAATGTACATAACGTACAAAATGTTCACCCACAAAAAGGTAAGTACTAAGTTGGAACTAACGTCAACACCAATTTCATTTATTGCCATTTTCATGAATTGCTCGTCTACAACATCCATTTTCAATCGATTGTCCATTTTCAGTGCATACGCATAATACGCATAGTAGTGGCATGTCTGCATTAGCGTCCACATTGGGCGCGCTAGCCGTAGGCGCATCAGGTCAGGCCACCGTAAAGAGGCGGAAAAAGTCTGCAGCAGCACCAAACCCAAAGAAAATGTTTGAAGAAGCGCAAATGGTGCGACGTGTTAAGGCTTATTTGAACAACATCAAAGTGATAACCGACGAAGACAACCTGCATCAATTTTCGCTGGAATGTGAACAAAGTGGCGGTTCGGCGCCGAGTTCGGTTACGATACGAAAACGTCATCCGTCGCCCACATTGTCAACCACCAGTTCGACCAGCTCAACGAGTGAGGGCAAAAAGGTTCAGATGGCCGGCGGAGTTGCTATTATTACAAATAACGGTAAGCTAGTTTCTTTTTTTTCTACTCTCCTTTTAGAAAGAATGACATTCAATGTGTACCTACTTTTTTTTTAAATTAATACTAGATCCACATGATCGGCGACCGCCAAAATTTGGGGCCGCATCACCTCAGGCAGTCAAAAAGCTTCTGTCTCTGTCGGAGCAAACAAAGACACGGCCGCACCAACCGCGATTTACCAATCTAATGACGCACGTTGGAACCGGTAATACAACCAACAGTTTTGGCATGTGCGCCAATACAACAGCGTCCATTGGCTTGGGTAAGTTACAATCGTATAATTGTCGGCTGAACCGCGTGTTTTAATGACATTGCAACTCATTCACAGTAGCCACTGATACACTTCGACAATCATCCGGATTACCATCACTATACTATCATCACAGTAATTCCGGTTTGCCAACGTTATCATCTAGTCCTTCGTCAACACCTTCGCCGAATGCTCATCGAACACAAGGTTAGTCACTTTTTCTCCAAGTCCAAAATCAAAAAATACCAAAGAACAATTCGATATTAAATCATCGTGATCATCCATTCCAGGTTCAGTGCCGTATTCAGCGCATAATTATGGATTTGGTAATCAAACGAGTAACGCATGTGTCAATAACACTGGGATCGCTTGTTTACCAGCTCGTGCTGTTCACGAGAGATCACATTCCGATGGAACAACCGCGCCACCATTGCCATCGGTGGATTTATCGATGGAAAGTAGCAGTGTCACATCACTGAGCAATTTACCCCTTCGTAAACATCCAATAACAGGTACAGCAACTTGAAATATATCCGGTTCTTAGGCTAATTTAGAGACGAAATGATACGATAGAACAAAGAAAACACCTTTCGCCATCGATATGGTGATGCATTTAGATTATTCATCGATATGTAAATAAAGAGAGAATTTGACATCGTATTCTCCTTTCCCAACGTAACTTTCTTTTAGAAACAAAAACCAAAATAGTGATGACTTTAGATTAGTCTTTTCAACATCTGAAAAGCGGTATATTGTCCGTTTATGTAATTTGTAAATAGATATTCCATGTTTAAAAGTACAAAGTGCTCTGTAACTATCTATCACTATTTAGAATCAATTACTCACTGTCCCTATTCTGTCTCGTTCAATGCATCATCATTTGCACGCAAACACACAAAAACCGCACACAGTTCACCAAATCTAAGCAAGAAAAAGGGTTTCTATCATATTCTAAACAAAAATACTGTTGAAATCATTTTTCAAAAACACAACAATACTATCAGCAATTGAAGAGTTTTTTTTTGCAAAGAATCGAACGCAGATTCTGTACATTTTGTATATCATGCTTACAAATGAGTTTTCCAATGAGTTTTCAACTGAAGAATTCACTCACTATTAATAAGTGAAATGTGTCACGGTGTCTGCTTGAGAAATCGTTACATTTTCTTTTCATCTTAAACACACATCACTGCACTGGGCTCGGGAAAAAAGGGGATTGGGAAAGGGTATGGATTTTCTGTTGTTTGTTGCTAAAATAGACAAAAAATGCTAGAAGTGGAGGACACTTTAATGGGATAACATAATTTGATTGTGCTATGATGATAAATGAAAAAAAAAGACGAAAGAAAATGTCTCGTTTTCTACAATTTCATTCATTATATTGTGAAAAATTGCAAAAAAAAGCAAACAACAAACCAAAAGTACAGATAAATCCCGTGTATCATCTCCACTTGTATTGTTTTTTACATTGAAGGGCGTTGCACGCACCTCAACATTCACAATACAAACTCAATGCGAGTGGAGACGCCTTATGAAAAATGGCACAGATTGCTAGTGCTAAGGTTTATCTGTACTTTGCTAGTCTTGAATCCGATTGAAATTCGACTGAATGAACCAAATTTCGAACCATTTTGAAGGCTCATTAACATCGAATGATAGCGGACATGGATCATACATTCCGAGTGGAAGTGGCAGCGGTGCCGTCAGTGATTTTCATTCCGATAACTTTAATGGCAGCAGTAACAATGGTGGTGGTGGTGGTCTATATCAAGTTGCATGTTCTATTGTTCACAATTCACCCAATGATCGTTTCCATCCGCAACGACGTCATTCGGCTATATCGCACGCATATCCAGGTATGTTTATTTCATTCAGGAGTGAGAGAGGGAGAGAAAAAAAACGGTGACGGTAAACAACACACAGCCAATTCGTGCTCATCATTGTTCCTGTGTGGTTATTCCATTTATATGTACAACCTGACACAATACAATGTGCACTGCAATGCAAAATCAATCAATAACCCCTTTTTGTTTTAGACATATTATGTTATTTTTAGTCAGTTTTAACCATTACATACACACATATCTACTCCAGACAAGCAGATGAATACACTAACAGTCCCGATTCCATTGAAGCATAGTAATATATAAACTTTGTCATGGGCACATAAACACACACAAACACACACATGCAACATCCAAATCGACCTATCGATAAATGAATACATCAATATATTGAAATGATAGGAACAACAACAACGACAAGAGAAAAAAAAACATTATAAATAAACAGTTTTCATTGATTTTCGCCAACGGATCTGACGACTTATTCTTTTTTTCTCTCGTTTCGGTCCGTTACACCATTTAACGTTATAACTACGATCGCAAAGAGAATGTGCCTTCTTTCTATCCATCACACTCTCTTTGTTGTGGAAAACCATTCCAATGCATGCTCATGTTATCGGCTCATATTCCAATAGAATGAATTCCTTTCGTACGATAATTTCGTTTTTACAACATTCATTTCTCAACTTTTCATATTAAAAAACTTGCTTCAATTTCGTAAAATTTATCCTAGTCTCTAACTCAATGATTGCAATAGATCTGTATTCATTTGGTTTAAGTTTTTTTTGTTGAAAATATTTAATATCTCTGTTTTGGAATATCTTCATATCTTCAACTCATTAGCTCTCAATAACCAAAAATTCTTCGTGGCTAACTACTTAGTTACAATTTTTATGAGGAAGAAAATCGATAAGTAAAAAATAGATTATGAACGCCTAAGATTGTATGGTAATTTTTAACTCGACGCGACTGATTTCAAATATTACTTTTTCACTGCTTTGGCCGATTGAGTGTTGTAAATCAGGCCAAAATTACTTGAAAAAATGGTAAAATTCGGTATTTGAAAGAAGTTTTAGTTTTTTTTTTTCAATTTGGTTACCTCGTTACTGTATTAATTAAGTTATAAATTCTGAAATTGATTTACTTAACCGACTAAAATGTTGATTAATTTATTCATAGGTCACAATGTTGGCATCAGTGCACCGCATTTACTGCCAGCGAATGCATCGCATGTGAAAAACTGTACAAATCTGATAGCTGGAACCGGCAATGGGGCAATAAACAGTGTCGGTGTCGGTAATCGTTTGCCACAAGGTAAAAAATACGAGCAAAAACGTTCAATGTTGTTAGTGTTGCGGTTTAAAATATATTAACATCAACATAAATGTCGTTTTGTGTCTCTCTCTTTGCTCCATTTAGTTCCGCCAGCGTACAATGTAGCTGCACAACGTGCTCTATTGCATCGGCTAGGGAGAGCGCATAGTCATGAAGGCGTAACGTCTTCCATAAGCATATCATCAGCACCGTTAGGCTTCTATCAACCCAACACTGAAGACACTGGTATGTCACGTATATAAACGAGCACAAACTCTCATTGTGGCTTCAAAATTCGACCAACCAGAAAATTCATTTATTAATCCAATTTGTTTTTTTCTCCGTGTTTTTGCTGCAGATGACGATGGTGCACAGGTGTCGGCTGTGTAAGCAAAATCAATCATCAAATTCAGTTTCCTTTTGTCTTTCCAATTTCATCAAGTAAAACATACGATTCATCAATGTACCAACTACACTTATTGTGTATAAGCCAAATATCAACAAGGAATTTTAAGCACAAAACAAAAACTATACATAACAAAAAAAGAAATAATCCCAAATATCAACAATCACACATGCATAAAAACACACACACATACACATACACACAAGCAATCGAACGTCATTCCTTAAATGATTAATGCATGCAGACTGGATCTAATTTAAATTGTAATACCGAACGCATATAATATCGTATAAACTGGAACGAAAATGCCAAAATACCCCCCAAATGCCTTCGCCTTCGACTTGTTCAATAAAATGAAAAATAAATGGAAGAGAACAAACACATTAACTGAAATGAATGAATTTACCCCCCTTTGTATTGCAAATGCAGCATATATTTATTGCATAAGTAAAAACAAAATTACACACCACATTGAGAACAATGGCCGAGCTTACAATCACTAATGCTATAGCTTGATGCTCGACAAACAACCAATTGTATGCAGTATATAATTCCTTATGAATAACACTTTTTTATGTTAAAATTTTTTTTAGCTCTGTAATGAATCTCAGCTTTCTGTGTTTATAAAATTAATTGAAATTATTCCAAAAACAAAAATGAGAAGAGAAATGAATCGCAACAAATTGTTATGATTATAATAAACAAAAGAAACCAATTCATTGAAATGAATTATTCTATAAATGTCACGATGAATGTGAACCATATAATTTAGATGAAAAAATAATTAGAAGAATTATTCTTGTCAAAAATAAAAATGATTTACCTATTCGAACATACTTACGCACGTGAAAAAAAACAGAACACTCATTTATTGTAAAGAAGAAGAAAAAAAAATGAAGAAAAAAACAAGGAAAAAAATCAAAAGCTTTTTAAATCATTTTCCAAAACAAAATGCATGAGCTGGTGCAAAAAAAAGAACAAGATTAGAACACAAAGATTATTTTTAATATTATTTTACATTATTTACAATATGAACTAGCTAGACATTTTTTATGTATTTCACTGCTATAACTGAAACAAAATGAACAATTCTATTATAATTATCCGCATTAAAATACGGATTTCACTCACATATTATATACACACACTAACTGAGTAGTAGCAAAACATTTAATTTGTGTAGCAAGCAAACCACATATTTACATGTATCTCTCGCTCTGAATCAATCAATCAGCCCAGTTTTCCAATTTTGAGGGTGATTCTTCTATTTCTCTATAATACTATCTTACTCTCGCTCTCTCTCTATATTCGTTTAATTGTATTTGCATGATTTGCTTGCCGCGGATTTATTAATTTTTCTTTTATTGCTGGCTATATCACTGTAAATAGAAACCTCTATAAAAAAAATATTGCGATAGTTTTTTTTCTTCAAGGCAGCATGAGTCAGGTTAATGAGAAACCAACCTTCAGAATATATTTAAAATGTATGGATCAAATCAAATGACAACAACAACATGAAACAACAAAAATATGAAGAGAAAACAAAAAATTTGAATTATTAATTTAGATGTATTTTGTATTTAATTACTATATTTTAATGCTAAAAAAAAATCAAAAAACAAGCTAAAACAAATCCAATATAATAAGTGACTAATTATATTATTCCAAAATGTGGAAAAAGCTATGACAAGATAAAAGCAACAAAGTGACGCTAAGTGTTTAAGATAGAGAGTCTGTCTATTCCAGAATTACCATTAGAAGACACATTAAAAAAAACTTTATTCGGAAAACAAAATAAGAACAAAGAATGAACAAACAAAATATCAGTGAGCACCGGAGATACTATCGCATGCCCGTTGAAACCAAATGGATTAACGTTCCAAAACAGGAATCATTCCGTGAAAAGACATAAAACAAACACAAAACAATTTAATAAAGGTTCTACTTCCTAGACGTGCAATTTATCAGTGATCAATAGCTGATTGTATGGAACCTATTTCCTAGGCCACCGATTGTTGAAAAAAAATCGGCGACGATTTATTGGTCATGATCGGACGCCTGGGGTATAGAACCTAAAAACAGGATAAATAACAAACCCACACATCCAGCAATATTGTGCGTATGCCAAAACTGAATGAACGCTAAGCTGACAACTATTTTACACCCTTCATGTAATAATCATACATATAAACACCATTTCATTTCTTTTTGGAGATCCACTTTACGATCATTGTGTGTTTATTTTGTACTTTCTCGCCGCGAGACATCGTAACGTAATTTGTTTCCCTGTATATCGACGAGAGCGCATAGATTGAAGATATGGGCAATGGCATTTTGTGATCGACATAAATGAAAGATTCTGCCGTATTGACCAATAACTACCAAAGTTAACGCAAACATAGCCCACACAATTTTATTGTTAACATCCGAATCCACACGATATCGGTCTCCATTAAGTTGTAACTATTTCTGTCTCTCTACAACTTCTTGTATACAGACACTTTTTTTTAGACAATTCAAACAAATAACAAGACAAATATAAATTTACTAAACAAAATGAGGATAGTTATTAGCAAATAATAACAACAACAACACAATAATATGACAATTTATTTGAAATGAATTGATAACATACCGAAAGCGTTCTTTTTATCTAACTACAAATAAAAACAAAATACGCAGACTTCGAGCACAGTTGACAGTTTTTTTTTTTGGTTTTGTTCTGTGCAACATTTTACACTGCATAAGTTATTAAAAAAAAACATATTATATATACCATAAACATAAACAACACACACAAACAAATCTCTCTTTTTACTCTTTTTCTGTCCATTTTCATTCACCCAATAGACACAAATACATAAGCCAAAATTTGACATTCAAACTATATGTTTCTAATTGTGTAAATGTTTAAATTTAAGCCAACTATTTGAAATGCTAACAAAACACATGAAAACAAAAGAATACTTGAGAACAACTCGAGAAAAAAAAACGATACACTTACAGGACCACAAACTATAGGCAAAGCAATCTTTTATGTAAAATATAATTAATTTATAAATCAACAAATAAATTTAAAAAAAAAATAAAATAAAACAATTCATCTCGTTTATTTTTAATTGAAAGTGAAGTATAACAAAATGTGAATTATGAGCGTACAGACCTATATCTACCGATTCGAAATTAGATGACCTTTACAAAAGCCAATTCAATTTAATTCATTTCTTCTCATGAGTTTGTACTCAAATGGTTGAGGCTCAAGTTTTTTAAATATGGAAATTAATGATACTACAATGATCAAATTCTATGAAATCAGATGATAAAATTCAGAACAAATAATAATTATGCAATACCTTTGGGAATATTGAAATAAATCCATGATATCTCTATATAATGTATTTGCTCCCGCGGGTCAGACATGTGATTTTGACCAGAAAGGTGATGTTATCCCTGATTTACAATATTTTATTCTTTACCCGTGGTTCAGAAATTGTATCGATTTCTTCCATTCGCTGTTCAGCAATTGCATCAAGGTTTTGGAACTTCTGAAAATTTCTGTGACAATACTTGATGCGTGATCTTCAGAAAGACATGTCGCATCTTCTGTGCGTTCAATACAAACAATACAATTTTTATTCTTCATTCTTTTCTTCAAAATAAAGTTCTTAAAATTATTTATTTTCCTTCAAATATGTTCTACATTCTTCAAGTGACATGTTTTTTTCAGTATCAATTAATTTTTGTTCGAGATGTGAAATAAAACCATTTATAGTTCAAACAGGAAGTAAAAGTGGCACAAAACGCAATAATTATTACAGAAACATATATATCAAATAAAGACCGACTCCTTAAAGCAAATTACATTATTACTATGTGAACATCTATAAACTAAGCAGACATGGGTGCGCTGCACTTGGTTGGCGAAGTGCCACCACCACTTAATAAAGTTAATTGACCGTTCGCTTCTAATTGATTAATAATCATGTGAACTTTGGTGCCCTTTGGCTGTACGCTGAACGAGCGCTTTAGAACATCCGAAGATGGTGCGATTGCACTTGTTTTGCTCAACTGTTGATTGTCTGATTGTTGTTGTTGCTGCTGCTGATGTTGTATCTCTGTCGTCGTATCGGTTGTACTGCTGCCGGATGATTTGCGCATGAAATTCGTTGGATTGGTCGACTGTCGTAATTTGGCCAAATGATTTGAGAAGAGCCACTTACGCATTGCGCTCAGTTGATATTTATTGGATGCGGCGTCAGTCGTCGTATCTCTCACCATTTCTTCATCATTTGTTCTTCGACCCGAAAAATACTTTTGTGATTGTTCTTTCAATTGTGTCGATAATTTACTACGAATTTCATCATCGATTTTTAAACGATTGCTGTCTTGTGTTGAATCCTCTGCCGCTTTTGTTTCATTGCAATTCTCTTTTTGCACTGAAACCAGATCATAATGTTTCGCATCGTCGGTTTTGTGAACAGGTTTTTTCGGTGTATCGTAAATCGATGAAATATCATCGATTCGAATGGTTGATGCAATCGATTGTGACAGTGATTTTTTCACTGGCAACTTTGGCCCCTTGCTTGTTGCCGTTGTTGTTGTTGTTGATGTTGTCATCGTTATCGTCTTGGGTGTTGTTGGAACATTTTTGTAGTATTCTTCTGGTTCTTCGTACACACCTTCACTATAGTTGCAAATATCGACGGAATGGTCTCGTTCAATGTTTGACCGTGCACTGGATGTGGCGGTGGTGTCAACGGTATCAATGTCTCCAGTCAAGCGATCGATATCAGTGTTTTTCAGATTCAGTGGCGGCTTTGGTAGTTTTCGTATCTGTGCCGTTGCTGTGAATGTACTCTCAATGTGCGGTAGACCAATACTCAATTGTTTCAACAGATTGATCCAATGCTCACAGTGTTCAGGCGTTTCAGCGACAAAACAATACGATTTTGCATCCTTTTTTTTATTTTTCTCGTCCAATTCAAATTTGCATGGATTTCGTTTACATTCGTCGGGTCGTTTATCATCATTCTTTGTGGCCCTGGGCTGATCCGCACATGCTACAAACTGGTTCAGTGGCAGACATACTGTTGGCTTCAAATCGGTCGTACCACCAGCATACATCAATAGCCACCATTCGTAATAGTCCGTGTTCGTTTGCTTTGACACCAGACCCGTGTAGTATTTTCGCTTGAAATTCATATTAAAATGCCGAATAAATCGCTTGCATCGCAAGTGCATCGTGAGCCAGCCCACTTTTGGCGAGTGCATGATCAACAAATGTGCGGCAGGTAAACCGTTAAATGGACAGTCTTTTTTACTGCCAACATCATTTTTCGAAGACGTATCCAAGTTTTGAATCGATGTCACCGCCGCAGTATCATTAACCGTTGGACATTTACCATTCCGTTCGACCATATAATTGTCGTAAATATTATCATCATCATTGCATTCTTTCGATGCTTTGCTACTAACATCAACATAATCATTGCGATTCGAATTTCCGATGGACTTTTTCAACTCATAACTTTCATATTTTCGCACACTCATATCCAAATAGGATGTATTCTCTTCCAATTCACCAATATTATTAGTTGTATGCTCAAATGTCGTTGATGTCAGCGGTTCCTTTTTGGATTTGTCAATAATTTCGTTAATTAATCGTAGCACGTCTGTTGTTCTCTCGTAAAGGTATTCCAAATTGTCAAAATCTTCATATGTAGTCGTGTTTATTTTCGTTTCAATGCGATTTTGAAAGTATCGATTCGAATCTGTAATTGAAAACAAAATAAAAAAAATCGAACCGTTGATTAGCACACACGCACTTATTCCCAAATTAATTTCATACACACAAAATCAATATTCCAAAATCGTAGCATGATGACAGAATTCAAAAACAAATACCTTTCAACAAATCACGAATTGTTATAAAATCAGCGATGGTTGCATCAACGCTGGAGGTCGTTTTGGATTGCATGTCATCCATTGTGTCGTATATTTGGTGAGTGATAAGTAAATAATCAAAGGCGTAATTAATGTTCAACGCCGTTATCGAATTTGGATAAATATGACCAAAAAAAAACTTTCACAAATTTCACCATTAACTCGATCGAGTTCACAATTTATGTTCAATAAATATTCAATGTAAAACAAACGTTATTCGAGTCCAACTTAAATCGGTTATTAACCATTTTAGAATTGATTTCAAAGAAAACGTTCACTTCACTACACTACACTTTTGCTCTGTGTGTCTCTCTGTGCTGGTCGACCAGTTCAATAATGGTACTTTATAAAAATAAACCATAAACCGCCACTGCGATGACATCAAGAACCTTCTGCGATCGCGAGAAATTCTTCCGAATTTAAAAAATTCGTCTACGCAGAGAGCCGTTTGCTTTGCGACGCAAATTGTGACACACAGTACCACATCTAATAAGTAGTGTGCGCATTAATGGGTGCTAACTGCTGAGTGCTCACATTCCGACAGTCAAAGTAATCGAATCTTGAGTAAAATATGTGACCAAAGCCGATTCGAATTAACATGCGTTGTCGTTGCTCATGTCGTTTTACACTCTTTAATTGTTATTTCACATGTGTGTGCGCTCGCGCGACGCACATCGCAACTCCTCCGGAGTTTGAATCGGCTTCTATGGGCTATACCGAAAAATAAGAAAGAGAATATAAAGGAGCACAGAAAAACAAAAAACCGATAGGCATGTGCAAACAAAAATTGACGAGAAAAAAAACATATTCATGTGCATATGCGCGTGCTATACCCCCAAGAGTGTACGTTATGTGACTCTCAATGTATTGCTTGGATAATTGTTGGTATTCTTCGGCGTTCAATCTCATCTTTGTAAGCCCATTTCGTATTGAAATTCGTTAAATTTTCGCTATACATCTTTAAACGTTCAATGACACAAACGAAGTATGTTATTTGGTGTTTGAACATAAATTTTCATTTTACTACGTTGTTTGCAGCAAAACTTGACTCACTCCTACCATTTAACGCTCGTAAGTACTAATAAAACGGTTAGTTGAAAAAGAACAAGTGTGTCATTCATGTTACACGAATTGCAGTCGTACTTTCAGAATTCGCTTTTCAAACTTGATTCCACATGTGGCTTAAACGATTCAATAAACTTTTGCTGAAAAGACGCGATATTTTTTTTTCAATATTTTTTATTTTTTTTTACATTTGTTAAACTTTATTCATTTCTTCGTTTCACATAAACAGTTTCTTTTTTTTATTTCTTTATTAGTGAAATAATGAATTTATAAAAAAAGGGAGAGATGATCGAGCGTTAAGTATTCCGAAATGGACATTTTTGGCTCAATAAATAGACAAAGACGAATGAAAGTGTCGCCTTTGAACGATGTAGAAAAAAAGAAAAAAAAAGACACACGCGCTGCTGCTGCTCTTTGAATCGATGCGATTGCATGAGATGATCGGGTGGGATCTTTACTTTTTCTTTTCGTCTTTCGTTTTATCGGTTTTTTCATCTTTTTTCGCCGTTCCATTGGTGGCCGCTTCCTTATCATCTTTTTTACCGTCCTTGGAATCCTTGTTATCTTTATCCTTTTTATCCTTGCCTTCATCTTTCTTACCCTCCTCAGCATCACGATTGGTCAGTTTATTGTTGATCAAATTGTGTAGCGCAATGATCGATCGCACCATTGATGCTAAATAAACAACCAGCATTTGATCATTGGTTTTCACGTACATCGTTTCGGTAAAGTTGTCTGTCGTGACATCGGGCAGTAGATTGAGTATATCTTGCAATTGGTATACGATTTGGTGATTCAAGGGCAGCTCGCCATTGCCCACCTATGATGCAGAAAAGTTGAATTGTTTTTGAAATGTCACCATTAAGTATTGAGTAGAAAAAGAGTTAGCCATTAGCGGAATACTCACTTTAATCAAATACTTTTTGATATCACGCAGTTGAGCGTTCAGCCCTTTCAGGCCAAGCAATTGATTTGTAATTTTTTGCGACAAACTGCCAACTCTGCAAATAGTCAAAAAAAAACAATTAATCAAATGTTCTAGTTCGTATTGTTTTGGGTTTCTTTCGAAAAATTCTACTAAATATGTTTACCGAGTGTCTTTGATGTCACGCAGTAAATGCTCTACACCGACTTCTTCAGCTTCTTCGGCGCCAATCTCGCTGGGTACATGCTCGAATGTTTTTGATGTTGGTGTACCATCTTCGTGCACCTCTTCAACGGCAATATAGGCTTCCGTTGGAAGGCCAAGATCTTTTGGCTTGGCATCGATGATAACGAGCACTGAATTCGGGCAATATCTACGGATCAATTCGTTTACAGCGATATCGTTTTGATGCAATTTTGGTCCGGTGTGATACCAACCGACGACACGTTCACGAGCATTCACCTTCTTAAACATAGCATACATACTATCCAAATAATCATGATCCAAGAACCAAACCGATTTATCTTTATCGTCTTCATCGAATGGAACTAAATTTTTGCTCGCGAAAGACGGAAAAAGAAATTGAAATAATTTTTGATTTTCTGATTGGAAATCTTACGTACAATGTACGTGTATGTATTATATTTTGGGTTGAACAAACACACACTTACCGGCAAAACTATTCGATACATCGAGTACACCTTTCTGTCGCCAGCAACCAAGTAAAACACCAACAACACGTTTCTGATTGCCAATTTTACCCATTCGATTGAAATGATCGACAACGCTGAGCAAAACCAGCGGATGCACAATCACTTTATTTACAACCACACTTTCTGACGGCATTTTGCGTTAAAATATCTATTTGTTGATTCTGTGTGCTAGCGAAATTCAACCTAAAAAACAATTCACAATTTATTATCGGATCGATTGATAAAAACGTTACGGATTCGATTTGAGCTGCCAAATTTTTACAAGGTTGGCCAATCGAAATTTGGATGAACTTACTATTTGTTTTTATTCAGGATGAAAATTGAAATCGTGTAACCAAAAAATGCTCACTTGTGAGTCGCTTGCGAATGACAGGACACAATTTGAAGAAACTGCTTGTATACGTACTTGGATCGGTGTGCAGATGTAGTTGTGCAACAATGATATGCACAATCTAGAAATGGATGCGTTCAATTCAAATATTTTCAAATGATTTGTTTTGTTCATTTCTAAAGAGGAAATTATTTTGTTGATAAAATTCCACAATTTATTCCACTAACAATTAAATTAAATATTAAATTATTGAAAATAATGCGGTGAATAAATTTCTATCAATTTGGTTTTATTGCAGTCAATTCTGCGATGTATCGAATGAGTTTAAAGCCACTTTGACAACCATAAACTTAACATTTAAACAATGGCAATGGCTTTTGTTTTTCTCCATTTATCGACAAACACCTAAATTAGAAGCTGTGCAGCTTATGAATTCGAAGCAATTCGTTCGAAATCGAAAATTTTAGTGCATTTCCCGTGTTTTTGGCAGCTTTACTGGGAATGAAATAGAAAAAATGAGTTCAACCAGCTCAATTGGCAGTGTAAGTACTATATTTATGGGTAGAGTTTACTAAAGAAGTCAAAGCAATTGATTTCTATCCATTATCTTCAACCCAAACAACATGCCTCAGTCTTAAAATACTAAATTTGTTTTTTCATACATAGAAATCCAGTCTTGTGGAAGAACGAAGACTTTGGATCGGCAACCTTGACTCCCGTATATCCGAGTAAGTTATAACATAATTAGTTTTATGCGGCAAATGCCATCCCACCTAAACCAAATTTAGCTTGTGCGGTAGCTCTTTGTCATAATCGCAGCAGATCAATTAATTAACCGTTTCGTTTGTTTCATTTTCGGATTAATTGGTATCAACTCTTGAAAATTGTGCAAAAATGCGGTCAAATTGAAAAGTTCGACATGATCTTCCACAAGTCCGGCCCACAAGCTGGGCAAGCAAGAGGCTATGCATTCGTAACATACCATGATGTAAGTGAAACTGTTTGCCATTTTTGATGAATCACCATTCTGAATGAATTCTGAGTATTTCTCGACAAAAATCTTATTTAAATTGAAATTTCCACCATCAAATAGAACTCTGGGGCAATGATGGCTTTGAGTAAATTAAATGGCACATTGGTTGGCACCAAAAATGTCGTCGTTCGACTCGCCAAGAACATAAATTATGTAAGTTTTCTACACATGAAAAAAAACGACGAAGAAATGCTAATAAAAATTGATGACTGCTTTATGACACAGGATGAAATGGATAAGCCAAAATCAAAAGTGGAGATACCAGCATTGGCGGCGGGCACATTGAATTCGAATAAACTGAGTAAAGAATTGACAATCAAGGCGATCGAAGCTAAATTGAAAGCATTAGAAAATCAAAGTGACGACCTTGTCATCAATCAAACATCGGATAGAGAAGTGCCGCTGATTCAAAAATACCAATTTAACAAGAATGGCGACCGAGCAACTGGCACTTCAACGGGAAACAACAAAAAGTTCACCACACGACCACCCAGCGGACCGTATAATCGCAACCAACGACGTCACAAACGTTGAATCATGCAAATCAGAAACGCAAAAGTATTATTAGATTCGGCTCTACTCAACAAATCCTCACCACGACCATACCACAATACTCCTCACTAGAAATAAGCGCGTGTGCTCATGTATCTCGACAAATTTCTACAATTAGCGAATAAAAATGAAAAAAAGGGCGAAATATGACTCACACAGAGAGAAAAAAGTACTTAATGCTTAAAATAAAATAAAGAATAATTTATCATCTACATTTGATTCTAGTTTGTTTTATTGGGTTTTATTTTTAAGTGAATTTTATTATTACAACATGAACCGTTCACATCTTCCAATACGGCGCGCTCTTACACACAATGGATTTCTGGTTATGCTAAGCGAGAGAATCTATGTCTCTTCTTCGTCGAAACGTTTGCTGCTACCATAGAATGGAATATAACGGTTGGTTACTTTCCAGTCTGACATAAACAAGAAGGCCAAGGCGCCTGCTATACCGAACACTGCTGCTGATGGACCACTGAAATGACAACAACAACAACAATGATTTCATTAATTCAATTTTCAAATGTAAAATCTAAATTAAAATCATTTTAATTCATTATGTGCCCATTTGGTGAGTCCAATCAAGAGGCAATGGAAGTTGTTTCACTTTTTTTTGCTCTAAAGAAGAACACTGTGCACTTGTGTTATGTAATTTGGATTGGAACATTGACATCAACTATGTTGGCCCAAAAGTATTCCATCGGACACACGAACGTCACATGAAAAAGTGCGATATAATTTTACTTACTAGCTGCGGGCAAGGTGGATATTTCTCTTGTTAACAAATGGATTCGTCATTTTGTATTCTTTTTGGAGCTTCCTTCCGAACAGAATAAGAAAAATGCTTCGATTTATATGCTGCAATCACACTCAGTCAATGTGAAATGTCAAGTAAAATGTATTTTGACAGGTCTGATGTGAACTAAAGAAAAATAAGAGAGTCGTCACACTGTGAAGTTGTCTACAAAATGGTCTACCATCGAATCATGCCTTCTTTGATTTGACATTTTGAACACAAAAACACAACCTAAATTTTTCTTGTCCCCATAGAATTTCATTAAATCATTTGTTTAGACGAGGAACATTTTGGATAGATTCCGTGTAAAATGCCGTTTATGATAGGACCAGCGCCGATTCGGCGAACCAAACAATATTTGAGCTATGGAAAATTGTATATTAAGGATAAAATTAAAATTATGAGCATAAATTACAATGAAAAGGGAGACCATCATCAAGGTGCCCGGTAAGTTGATTTACAGTTTACGGAAAAAGTGTTTTAATCGAAAGAAAAAAAAATTATTTATTATATAAAAAAATTGCCAACCATTTCCCGTTGGTTTCGTTTCAGTGATTTTGTATTTTGGTATGTGCCACAGATTCAGTACAAAAACCCCAATGTGCAAATAGTTTCATTCAAGAATTTAACACCATCACCGTTCATCAGATGTTTTTATGGTAAGTTCAGTATCAACCGTGAATTCTCGGTTCTAATATCTAAGTTTTATATCTTCTTGTGTTGTAGAGAATGGAAAGGAGCTTATAATTGACGTGGATAGTAAGAAAAAGGAGGAAATTCTATCGCATTGCCTGCAAACGATTGGAAAATCCAGGTTGGTTCCATTCAACAATTTATTGCTATTGGAAATTTCATTGAAAATTGTTGTTTATTCAAACATTTCATGGAATCCATTCAATTTTTACTTTCTTGCAGTGAACAAATTCAGGCAGAAAAGATGGCAGCTCAAAAGAAAGAGAATCCATCAATCTTTGGCGTCGGTTGTGAGCGGGCGTGCATTTGCATGGTTCCCGGCCAATTACCATGCCCGGGTATCGTAAAATTACCTGACCACATGCGTGGCAAACTTAAATGGAATAAAGATTAGGTGTTTAACAGTGTGAAGAAGATGTAGCAAATAAATAATTCAATTCATATACGGTTTTTATTATTTGACATATATCAAAATATCACAGATCTTGTTACGATCTATCAGTCGATTTCTGTATTTGTTCCCGTAGTTTCCTGAAACAGGATCGTAAAATGTAAATTTTGAACAATTCGAACATAATCATAGAATGCAAAATATCGCAATTTATTACCGTTCCTGTTCTTCTTGCTTCAGTTTCATTGCGGCCAATTCTTGTGGATGCATGCGCTTACGGTGTGAATAGTAGTTACCACTGGATGCAAAAGATCGACTACAAAACGGACACACAAAGCGTCGGACACCAGTGTGTTGAACCTGGTGATTTTGCAGTGTATTCTTTAGTTTGAAGGCTTTTCCGCAATCGCCGCAAGCAAATGGCTTGTCGTTCGTGTGCTGCACACGCATATGGTTCCGCAAGCATTGTCGATTCACAGCCGAGTAATCACACATCGAACAGCTATATCGGATCGATGAATGTTGTACCATATGTTTGGAGAGACATAGCTTATTTTTCAACCTAATGATTGAAGAGCAATTAAAAAATATTCATTGATGAAAAAAAGCGCTGCCCTTACCATTTGCCGCATTTCGAACATTGAACCTGTCTCACTTTCGGTTCGTGCGTGGTTAGATGATACGATAGATTGCTGCGACATGCAAACCGTTTGCCACATATATTACACGTATAATCTTGACCGTGTTGCATGTGAGTGACATTAATATGCGTGGTAAGACGACCGGCTGAAACGAACCTATTTGTCGAAGGACAATCAATTTGTGAAATTAGAATTTTTATAGTAAACTTGTCGGTGACAAATTTGAAATTGGGATTTATCTAGGGAATTTGGAACAACGAAGAAAAAAAATAGCACCCTATGGAGAAAAGGTGCGTGCCTCAAAACGTTTGTTTCAAGATTATCTTGGCTATGTTATCATTTTGATTCTCATGCACTCAAAAATTGCGCTTTGTCTATCGTACATCATAATCCCACTTACACTTTGCCACACTCATCGCAGACATGAGCTGCGCGCTGACTCTCTGGCTGATGTGAAATTGCATGAGCCACCAATGCGCTGCTATAGCTAAACCGTCGTGGGCATTGTGAGCATGCCAGTGGTCGTTGAGATTCCGGAAGATGGTTCTGCATGTGATACTGCAGAATTTTCGGGCACGTAAGCATCTTATTACATTCCGGACACTTGAAGGCATCCGGCTGTAAATGACGAGCCATATGCAAGGCCATTGCCCTTGGTTTTATCAGTTTCATACTGCAACACACCACATATCCCTTGATCTGATGTACGTCGACATAGTGTTGACATAAATCGGAAAGATTTTGAAACACCGTACGTTCTTCGTTGTCGCTGAAAAATTGAATTAGATAGAAAGTTAGTTTGAATTATTTTTAAAGCAGGCACATTTCCTACGAAGCAGAGCAAATATAGGGATTCCCAACGTACCATTGGTCGCATTCGAGTCGATAAAATTTTGAAATCATATTCAAAAGGTCACGTCCTTTGTATAACAATTTTGAATCTTCAATGAGTTTGGGAAAGTCTTTGAATTTTTCATGATCCACATCATCGATCGTTGCTGTTGCATTTTCATCGACCACATGCTCGTCATTATCCTCATTGTATTCGTTGTCACTGTCGGCTGTGATCTCATCCAGTTCGTCTAATTCACGTTCAATGCTAATCGAATTGATTTGCATCGGACATTCATCTAAAATTTGTACTGTTGACGAAGTTTTGGCATAAACATTTTGCTTTGATGAAAGCACCGATGTGTAGATTTCGCTACTCTCCTCCATAACTTCGTAATGAGTGGACGAGAGATCAGTCTCATGTGCATTGTCGTCTTTTATCAATTTCGATATAATAATATCGTTTTCGTTTGCATCTTCAACTCTTGTATTTAGTACATGCTCAGACGATGTCGATGTCTGCAGAGTAATTATAAACGTCCCATTGGTTTTTGATACAATTGCCGGCGACAGTTGAATCAAGTTCGTTGGCGTGGTGATAATTTGTGTTTCATTCGATGAAGGCTTCAATTTTGAACAAATCAACTCCTGGTGGTGCGTTACTTCTTGACAGAATTGATCGAAAACTTCAATCCGATTGATACACTGCTGACAAATCGTTCTTGGAAGTGAATCATCGTCGTTTATCTAAACATAATGTTAATAATTCAAATCACAAAAGAAATTTTTTTTTACTTTAAAATCAACTATTGAAATGCCTCGGGGTATTTTTTGAATCAAAAGATTTGAAAAAAGAAGAAAAGAATATTAACCCGTGCGGAAAATTTTTCGATTAATTTGGGACATTTTAACTGACTAAAAGTGATTGTCTCGAACAAAATAAGCAACTGCAGTTAACTTTAATCACAAATCACTCTTAGTCAAAATGTTCCAAATTAGTCGACTGACTGAAAGAATAACTAAACGTGATTGTCTCCATACAAAACGCATAATTTCAATCAACTTAGCCAGTTTTAGTTGTGTATCACTACATACAGCTACATACAACTGAGTGACTGTTAGTCATTTTATTTGCACATGGGAAGTCTTCTTGCAAATAATAGAATCTGTTTACCTCAATGTACAAATATTTCCGGATTTTGTTACGAATGGTCAGATTCGACTGGTCGTTGCCAATGTCACTGCAGTCTTGTGAATAATTCAAACACAATCGACACATACACAGAATGGGCACTGTTTCTCCGTCCACTTGCATCTTTGAATTAATTTTTCAAACACTAAAAACTAAATCCTTAAACATTTTCAGGAGTTTGAAAGTAAATAAACAAATCAGTGGAATGACAACTGCTTGTGTACTGTCACACTACAAACACATTCAAATCAATGCTATTCACACTAATACATACATGTGTCGTATATATGTATCTCACCATACCAATGTTAGCTATTGAATGTGTTAGCTATTTATGGTGAATACACTCATCTGAAGAAAGAAAGCAAAACCAAGAGAAAAACGTTTCGAAAAAAATTCAAAAGATTCAAACAGCTGTTTGAACAGACGAGCAACAGCCAGAGGGAATAAGAAGAAATGGCAAGAATTTTGTAATTTTACGTGAAATTCATTCCCCGTGGATAGCTCATGTTATTGATACTTAGCAATAAATAAAAAATACTTGGTCCATTTCTCCGAACTGAACGTTCAAAAAGGATCTAATTCTTTCAAATATACTCTTATTTCATCGTCATGGTGAACCAGGAACGAAAAAGTTTTTCGATAAATAAAGAAGCTGTCACAGCTGATTAAATAATAAAATTCATGCCGAGGAATCTACGACACTAAGACTCATAAAAAGAAAGCTTCCAGTGTTTATTTTGGGAAATTGGGTCTGACCTTTTAACTCTTGCCTACGTGGACAGACCGACTGAAATGAAGTTTTATGTTGTAAATGCAATAAAAGTCGGATGTGCCGAGAGAAAAAAACCAATGGAGGAGAACACGTCCAAGGTCGAATTCCCGTTAGGATGAGCGAATGGGGGCGTGTGTGCTCAGCACACTGTGTGCTGTCAAGGATAGCAATAAAATCAAGAGTAAATGAATTTAGGCTTTTTTCTCTTATTGTTTCAAAACAATATATTTTTTTATTTATGAATAAATTTTTACAATATTAACACCAAGAAATTTTTTTGTCTTTTTTTATAGAATTGTTTTTTTTTTGTTGTTTGTTTAAGATTTCAATAGTTTTTTTTTTAATGTTTTGTATGTTATGTTTATCCATTTAATAGTGACCAAAAAATAAATAAATAATGAAAATGGTTATTGATTAGTTTCGCTTTGAATTGTGCATATTTTGAGACAGAAAAGAAAATGTTGTGTGTAAATGTTCGCAGCTATTGTTGATTTGAGTATATATTTTGTTAAGATACAAGCGTATATTTCGCTTTTTCTTTGTATTTTTTCTATTGAAAAGCGTACAAAAATATTCTGTTTTTTTTTCATATTTCGAAAATAGTTTATTGTTTATAACCATTTGTTTTATTAGTATTTAGTTTGGTTCAAAAATGTAATAGATTTAGAAGATGCGCGTCAAAAACAAATTGATTGTTTTTGCTGTTAGCATGTTAAACCAAAGAGAAAAAAATCTATGTGTTTCTCTGCAATATATAGTTGAAAAATATGATCGTTTCCAGCTTAAAACTAACAACAACACTTAATTGATTTTCATGCTTGCATTTTTATTTAATATTAAGAAGAAAATAAAGTATTTTTTTTATCTTTTTTTTTCTTTTTTGTGTTTTCTTTTTTCAATTTAATGCCAATGTGAAAATACATACCAGGCCTTTCACAGTTAATTAGATTTATATTCGTGTGTATCCATTGCGCATTAAATTACGTTGCATAACGTTTATTTTTTTTGTTTCAATTCATATTTTATTTAGAAAAAAACACCATTTTATTAATAAATAAGAGAAAACGGCTACTGAGAAGTGAACAGTGTTTGGGTATGATATCGATGAGCGATTTCGGCGGTCCTGTGTCGACAATGCCATATTGACGCGTGACAATATCCCTTGCTCAACATTTAACAAATGTTATGCGGTAATTGTTGGAGCGAATAAAATATGTGTTTTTTTTCTCTTTCTTTCATAACATTCACGAACCGCCACATTTTGATTGCTCTATCAAATCATAATCTGTTGCTTCGTTCAATAGCCGTTTTCTTGTCTCTCTCTTTGTTCTTTAAACATTTATTTACATGAATATAAATTTCTGAAATTATTCTCGTATAACACGGGGGAAAGAGGGAAGGGTGGAAAATCCACAGACTATTTGATACATAAAATCTCTGTGTCAGTTGCAAATGCAAAATGGGATATTATATTGTTAACAAAGTAAATAGAGGTTTAGAAGTATATGAATATTCTTATTTAATCCTACGAGGGAAGGGGGGGGGGTTGAAACAAAGGGACAAAAAATTTACATTGAAAATAATATGTTGATTTTTGTTTTTATTCTCATTTGAAAATAGTAAATTAAGTGAATTTTCGCTGCGTTTGTCAAGCACATCATTTTTACGTGAAAAAAATGCTTTTCATTTTATTTTTTGCATCGTTTAACAAACCCGAAATGAAAGTGCATTCAAAACTGTGTCTCAAAATGTAAGGGTTGCTGCTGGTTACAGTTTGAGACAAAGTAAATATATATATTCAATGCATCGCGTTTTTGTCACTCTCTCTCTCTTTTCATAAAACAAAAAAAAATTAGATTTTTTTTATTCACAACGATCCCCGTTCACCACATGAAAAATAGGTATGGCTTCAAACTGAAATCGTCTAAACCGTTTTGCTAACGATGCAATCGATATGGTCAACAAACGCAGTGCCGAAAATTGAATAATCGACATGTGCCTTGGAAACTACATTGTATATCGATTACTTGATCGAAAGTCGCATTGTCTTTGTTGTTTGTTTGTTTTTACATTTTTTTTGGGCGTAAAATTGAATTAGTTGCGAATTCGAGTCTTCTTTGTTTGTGTGCTTTATATTATCGTTTCGAGTTCATTTGATTTGATCTTTTTTGTTGTTTGTTTGTTTTTGTCTTAAAAGTTAATCTAGAATTGCAATATTTACTTGTTGAGGGTCTTGTGAAAAACCGAAGAACATAAACACATCAGAAACGAAAGACGACAAATCAGAAAATTAGACATTAGTTGGAAATAAAATATGGACATGAAAATAGGAACTAATGCTTAAATACACGAATATATGCTTATTCATAAGACAGTCCCGAGCCTAAATTCCTCTTAATGTGGATGGTGGTGACATGCAAATAAATCAAATTTGTGATGGTGCTTTGCATTGGGAATCTAATTTGATTTTGGTGTCGGTGGTGTTTGTTGATGTTGTGAAGTGGGGACTCTCAGATCTTGAATGTGTCTATAATTTTTGTGGTTTAGCTTGAATTTAATATTAATTTGCCAAGCAAAATGCATGATTTTTTCTTTTATTCTACGTAAACTACAATGACATCATTTTTTTGGGGTGTTTTTTGTGTTTTTTACGTATGTTTTTAATTTTGCATTATTGACCAAACGCTTTGGAATAAATAAGGACATAAATGATATGTACCGGTTGTTTATAATTTATTTTTCTTCATTATTTTTTGTTTTCATAAGTTCAAAAGTCATCTTCGATCTTTATGTTGTTTTTTTCTTTCTCTTCTCGAGTAAAAATCTTATATGCTCATTTTGCTTACTCTATAGACTTAAGCGCTGATTATTCAACACATACAGAACTGACTCAATATCAATGTTTTCGTGCTGAAAAATCACTATTCAATTACAACCTACGTTGATAAATTGAGTTTCTCGCTCTCTCTCTCTCTCTCTTGTGTCTCTCATTTTTTCACTCTGTTTTTTTTTCATCTTTACATTACTTCTCATCTCCACTTTTACTCGAATATAAGCTTTGAAAGCATTGCTGTCCATCTTTCATAATTTTCATTATATATCCTTTGCTTAGAAATATTAATGTTTTAATTCACTTTAGTGTACGGCTTTGACTCTTAGGAGGATGCTGATAATCTTCGAAAAACGCACCGTCTCCATCCACTGATATGTTTTTTATAGGCTTTTTTACTTTTAGTAGTATTTTGGTAGTGTTTTTTTGATATGTTTAGTTGTTTTTTTTTTGGTTTTCATTTTTCGTCTTCATGATTTATGTGTGTGTTTTTTGTCTGTAGATTTTGTGTTGTGTGAAATAAATGCATTTTCTTTGTTTTTTTGATAAATCGGACGACATAGAAACGGAAACTTGCTTGTTTTTCTGCTGTTATTTAGCTTGGGTATACTGTTCGTCCGTGTGTTTTCATCATCTTACTTCAGTACATGCTTGAAGGCGGATGTAATTCGCTTCTCTCCCGCTGTGTGCTGAACATCGTGCTGTTTTATCTGAATCGCAATAAAATGACACACACACACAAAATGTTACGTCAGTGATTCTAAGTGTTTTCAGCGAAACTATTTTTAGTAACACATCAACACCATCTTCATCATCACACGTACCTGATCGACTTGCACGGTGCCCAGACAAGTTAGAGGGTCGGTGAAGTATAAGCATGCCTGTGGAAAATGAAGCAAATGCAAACAATATTCGTTAGAAAAAAAAAGCGGAAATAAAATCAACACATTTTAATTATGATTCGTCACCGTCCATTCGTCGATACACGACACCATTTTAAATTATCACATAAATTGTAACACATTCGGTTTACTCGATAGCTCAATTCGAATTTAATTATTGTTTTTTTTTTAAATAGTAAAAGGGCAAAAATAACAACAATAACAAGATTATACCCACACAAAAAATAATCCGGAAAAATATGAATGTCGATAGTCGATTAAAAATTGAACAATCAACATGAGCAATTAATTACCTTGCGTGGGGTTTGACGATGACGTCGCTGAAGCTGACAACACAATCCCCTGAGAAATTGATCGAAATTGAAATGAATGAGTATTTTCTATTAGAAGACACATTGTATTTTCTCTCATTAAAAAATCACACACATACCGGGTAATATCACAATCGCTGGACGTGAGACAATCTTCGGCGTATTGTTTAGCAACAGCCATTGGTGCACGACATACACTTGCTCCGCTTACAGCTGAAAGATCGCAAATCAAGCCCGATTCACAATCAGCATCACGACGACACAGTTCACCCAACTTTCGTCCATAAGCGAATAGACAATTGCCCATTACTGCAGATTCAATGAAATTTTAGGAAGAAAAAAAAAATAAAATGTATGAAATCAACTCTCACTTCAATCTTCCGGAATTATTTTCCTTCGTCATCATTACCATCGCCAAACAACACATAGAAAAGAAAATCAAGCCTAAACATGCAGACTTTTTTCTATCCTTTTTTCCTTGAATCATTTTTTCCGCCTTCATTACATCGGATTAGAAACGGAAGGAAAGTGTCAAGTCATCAAACGAAAAACTAAATCAAAACACTTTTCTTCCACCAATAACTAATTTGCACATCATTAACTGATTCCAGGAAGAAGTGAATATATAAAAGTTCTAGCAGTGCCACCATGACTGCCATATATTTGTATACCAATTCATATTGATTATTTTCAAGCGTTCTTTTGTTGTTGTTCGGGTAATACTCATGAATTTGCGTCACTGACACATCAAACGTTGATGGGCCATGCTAGAAAAGGATATCATTTTTTGTGGTTCGAAATGGGAATAATTTTTTGGTATTACTTTCAGAACTTGTAGATTATCTGAATAATACAGCAAGTGGATAGCCAAACACCTGGAGGTGTATTGTAATAACTCACAGATAATTGGATGCAACTGTTCATCATTTCTCAAACCAAGCGGCCGTAATTGTGTCTGACATTCGCTAGATTTGGTATGCTTATTACATGCCACTCGAAAGCAAAGGGAAAAAAATGGTATGAATAACGTAACTTTCGTATTTTGGCGCAATCTGGATGTCAAAATGGGCCGAATTTGATCTCATTTTGTAACAGAAGAGAATGAAAAGGAAATTTGTGGGAGTTTTGTAAGCCCGCAGCATTTTGTATATGTTCTCATCATGAGTTAATTACACGGTTGGCAAAAACCGAGGGTTTCCCATTGAAGTTTCACATTCCGTTTAGGGTGTTAGTCTAACACGGTTCAAGCTGAGTGGTTTTTTGAATAGCAAAGCACACACACTTCATTTCTAGATCTGTTGATATCTCCCGCAAACGAAATTTGCGGCAAATTTGCATGAATATTTGTTCTATTCATATTTGGCGTTGACTTTTCGACAATGTTCGGCATGATATTTCAATTCAAATTTTATTGAGAAATCCTTCGTTTTTCTTTCAAATCTAACGTTTTGCTTCCAGATGTGGTGCTGAAAACAATGTTTTGATATCAAGAAATATATCCTCGCAAGTGTACGTTTTGGTATTCGGAAAACGACTCAAAACGCTCCACTCTATCGGGCGAATATGTGTGTGTGTGTGTGTGGGAATTTGAGGCGAAACAGGAGTGCTACACCAGACATAGACAAAGGACTCAACCATATCTCTCTCTCTCTCTTCGTACAGATCCAGTTCAAAACCGCAACAGTGTCCGATTGCTAATTACCGAAGCTTCAAATTACTTTGGTTTGCATTGCATTGCATTGCATTGTTACAAATTTGTATGCATATATTTGTATTGAAACACCCAATCTTCACACCATAGCCAAAGCTGTGAAAAATACTTAGTACTTTTACTTATACTTTTAATTAATTACATGAGAGTGATAGAGCAAGCTTTTGAAGCTGAATGAATGTTGGAAAGTTTTCCGCATATAATAATTACTTGCCATATTTTCAGTGTAATTAAAATGGTATAGCAAAAACGATATGTGCCCGAGTGGTGCACGCATTCATTCACCTGTAAAAGATATGATGTTTTGATTACAATTGCGGGGTAAAATCAAACGTTTTTCCAAGTAAAACCACAAAATGAGGTCGTAAGATTGAAATCGAATTTGTTAAGATAAGAAGTGGCTGCCGTGAGGCGTTGGTGTTGATGACGATATGGCGGCGTCGGCCAGTAAAATGTGGCGTGATAAAAGAGGTTGCCTTATACGCAACAATTTCCATCATTAATCACCTTCAAATCACTCTGACACTCACCCTGCTGATACACTCTCAAAGTATTTGCTGAACATTCACACACACAAAAGCAAATAACGATACGCGCAACAATTTCGTCAAAACATCTTAATTTGATTTGGCATTTGTTGTTACTTTGTGTTTGCAATTTGCTCCCAATTATTCATTCGATCCGGTAAAAATGATGGTTGCAAACACCCAGTCGCAGATGAAGTAAAAATAGCAGAAATATGAAAAAAACAAAGTTGCTTTTTTTTCTTTAATTTTCACTGTAACATCTCGGTCGCTGCCGTCTGGAAGGGAAAGAGAAGAGAGAGAGAGGGGGGAGAGAGGGAGGGAAAAAGAGACCGAACTGAAAGTGAGAAACTTTCTTAATTTTCACGTCGAAAAGGCGTGCGAGGAAACCAAATCTCGCTCGAAGCGATTGAAAGTTAAGCTTTCCAAATCATTCAACGGAATGATTGATTTCGGCGAATTGAGAGCATTTACCGGTTGCATGAAATAAATATATTGGATATTACTGAAGCCTAAAACTTCATCGTCTTTGTGATATCGGTTCATTCAGTCGGAATGACAGAATTTCGATTAATGAAGGACAGCAGTAGTGACGATGACAACGATAAGCCTACGAGAGCTCAAGCCATCGCACGAAAAGTACGCACAAAGGCGAACACGAACGATTGATTTGTCACTCAATTTCGGTTTATTTGTACGCCAACATACATTGAAACAAATTTCTTTTCTCTTCTTCGTTGCCATTCAACTTCGGGAGGAGGGGAGGGGAGCGAAACATCCAAATAAACACATGTCCTTTTCGATATGGATAATCAGCAAACTTCACTTCATGCTATTCTCGTTGTAAGTAAGGTAACTTCTTTTCTTCTTCTTTTTTTTCATTCATGTTGTTTTCAACTCAATTATTATTTATTTCGACTTTGTTTTTATTGTTGCAAGTCTATGTTGAAATCCGAAAATAATCTCTTTTATTAGAGTCAGATACAATGTTCAAGGATTACGAATTCACTTTGTTTTCTTTTCTTTTCCTTCTTTTCTATCTCATACAAATATTCTTGAATGAAACAGAACGAAAAAAAAAACAAATAAAGAAGTGCTCTTACCTCCATCAACATCAACGCATACACTGCCTGGACAGCAATGCTCGTTGGCTGTGCATCGTTTCCCATAGCATAATTCGTCATCCAGAGCTAGCTCGTTTTCTTCGGCGAAATTCTCACTCTACAGCAATGGAACAACCAAGGAAAAGAAGAAACATTTAATCAAATGACATGGAATGGAAATGAAATTAAAATGAAATTTTATTACAAACCAAAATGAATGAGAAAAACAAAACCGAATATGGTGAAATTGAAGCAAAAGCTTCTGTAGTCGTTGGGAAAATCCAAAGAAAAATGATTGATTTGTTAGGTTGACGCTTTCGCCCCGTTTTGGGACCATCATGCTTCGTTACATTGTTGTGTGCACTTTTTTCATTAGTTGGTTTCTTCATCGTGTGAAGGGAATACATTTATTATATATATCTTCATTACATCAGCTCATCGACACCTTATAACTTATCAAAAGCACTTTTCTCCTGTGCAACGTTGCCCAGAACCGAATCTCATTTTTAATTGAAAAATTTATCTAATAGCTATTGAAATGTTTATTAGGTTAAAAGCGAGCGTCTAATGTGAATTTACAATTTGGCGAAATACGTTAATGACTTCACCAGGTGCTTTCCAGTCGTTTGGTGAATTTTTATAGTAAATGGTAGCACCTCGTTCGGAATGAACAGACAATCCATTTACCAAAGTACACCGCATTCAATGTACGTGTGCGTGCGTATGTGCTCTTTCTATGATTGCGGTAAACAAAGCCATAACAAAGTAAAACAATTGCAATTTACCAAAGAACTCAACGAAATGGATTTTTGGAGTTAAAATTAAACCTATCCATTCTTAAGTTGGATCAATGTTCTGAATTGTATTTCATAATACGCGAAGAATTCACATACCTACACACACATACACGGATGAAGAGAGAGAGAGAGAGAGAGAATTTTGTCTGCGCTCTTATGTTTTAAATTGTATGTATGATTCATTCACTTTCAATTGAGATGGAAAATGAGCTATTTTTCAGGAGTTGATTTCGTTAAATGTTATTTGGGGGGACGATTTCTGTTAACAACGCAATTGCTTGAGGCTGCTTCAGGCATAAGGGACATCAAGGGTGTAACAATTACAATTTATATTATTTTTGGTATTTTGTCTCATATTAGGGTAAGAACAGAAAGAGAAAAAAATCTAATGCCACTTTGTGGTACGTTGACGGCAGGTCCCTTTCGGTTCAACAACAACAGCAACGACAGCCACAAAAAAGCACAAAGCAGAAGAAAGAAATTAGTCCCTTGATTCCAACTAGACACATTTGTATTGAATTATTTATCGCTTAATGCGGGCATTTTTCGTTTTTTCCTTCTTTCGTCGTCGTTGTAAACTCTAGCTCATAAATTTTTTTGTAATACTGAAATTGTGATGAGCTGAACGAGCGAGTCCCAACCAAAAACCAGCAAACAAATAGAAAAGGATAACAAAACATAAAAGTAAACATAGTTGATTTTCATCTTTCGAATTATCGAATTTGTGAATGCATAAAATATGACATAAAATAAATGTGGTGGAAAATGGGGGGGGGGGGGGGGGGGAGCGAGTAAATGAAATGAGATTTTTATGATATATGTACCTCTTGGTAAATACGATGCGGTGCTCCATAGCCCATGTTTTGTAGCATCTCGGGTGAGAATCGATTATTGTAAATACCGCCCCATGCATTCACTGAATTCCCGATGAAAAGAAATGAGGTGCCTAACACCATCAATACAACGGTCGACTTCATGTTCGATGCTCGCTATTCGGAAGTTGAAGCTATACGAAAAAGGAAGACAGAGGAAAAAAACACATTAAAAATGATAAGCAAAAACTCCATTCGATAGAAAATAATATAAAAATAAAAACGAAAGTGGTAAACATTATTTTTATTTTCTATATTGACTTATTCCGACCACATCGAATGCAATCAAAACGAACCGCAACCAATGAATACGTCCAAAAAGTGTTGCAGCAAATTTTTCAATGACAAATGAATTCAAACGCTTCATACCTGAAGCAATTCTCTAAATATACGAAAAACTATATGCAACTAAATCCATTAGAAAATTAATGTGAAGAACGGATACCATTGTCGTCATCATCAATCTGCGTTTTTGTTGTTGTTGACATGAACTCAATTGATGTGAAAGTAATGAAAATTAATTTCCTGGAAAATATGTGTGGCGTTTCATCAATCTCTCTTTCTCTGAAACTCTCGCTCTCTTTCTCGCTCCCTCACTTGCTCAATTCCGGCAGGTTGACGTTGAATGATAGGAAGCACGCTCGTTGTGATTTTTGTGTTGTTTGCAATTGGATAGGCAGGTATATGAGGAGAAGGAACGAGAACAGATCGAATACCCTATGATTTTCGTTGCCACTGTTATTAGCATTGTGTTGTGATTTCACAAAACAGTGGAAATGCCTTTGATTTTCGACTATTGAAGTATTCAATTGAAGTATCAGAAATCAGTTTGTTCTTGCATCTCAATTGAAGGCTTCCGTTTCAGCAGCAACACGACATACGGTGAGTGTGTATCAACAGGTTTGAATGATATGGATTCAATCGATTTCACGTCTACCGCACTTGGTTGACATTCAAAGTACACACGCAAATGTGTTCGTAATACCCCGAATTGCGGATTGGTAAATTTTTTCTGCTACATTTTATTACATCAGTTTCATTTGAATGACACAATTAAAAAATCAAGGCTTCCCATATAAAAATATTAAATTTTGGTGTAGTAGTGTTGGGTTTTGATACAACGGAAAAATGTTGTAATTGAAATATGAAATTGAAATGAGAGTGCGAAAGAGCAAAAAAAAAACAACACGCTGGGAAACAATAACAGTAATTGCCATCACTATCCACGGCTCAACTCGAACGGAAAAGGGCGAAAGAAATGAACGAAGAATAAAAACAACACCACGCAAACACACACACCGAGACACAACCCATACACGGAGAATGGCATTTCATTGGCTTGCATGCATAGTGCATATACGGTTTGACGTAAATTCTCCAACGTGCACATTAAATTCGAAAATAAAAATCGATACTGAACGAACGTTGTTCTTTTTCTTGAATGTGTTTCTTTTTTCTTTTTTTTCTTTCGGCTAGTGGCTGGTGTGTGTTCTTTTTTGTGTATTCAGATGATGATGCTGTTGATTCCAAACAGAATCGAAATGTTGCGCTTGCTGTTGCGTGAATGTGCTTAGGTTTTTCTGTGTTCGCCAAACACTTTTTCCTGTACATTTATATATGTTCATATATTGTTGTGTTACATGGAGCGAGCAAGAGGGAGCTTTTTCGTTTTGCAACGTTGGAATCATGCACATATTTCCAAGAACTTTATGGTTCCTTTATTAATCCCTACAGTTCAATTTTTTTGTCAAGTAATTGGTGTTTCGCTTATAGAATGAAAATAAAAAAAACGACAACATTTGCATTGAAATCGAGCTTTTTTCTTCGTGCGGTGTACGCTATCGAACATGTTGTTTTTCATCCATTTCCGTTGGTTGCGGGAAAAAGCATTGATTCTTTGTTTAGCTAATTTTTGCTTTCGATTTTATTGTGAGAGACTACGATTGTTATTGTTAGGCCAGTCCATCGTGGTTTCGTCCTCATTATCGTCGTCGTCATCGTCGTCGTCAATTGGTATTGGTTTGAATTTTGCGTCAAACTTGTTTACTCCAAATGGTTCATACTTTTTTTATGACTCGAAACCATTGACGAAAAAAGGGATAGTTTGGCTTGTTTAAATAATGCAAAGAACGCTTATAGAAAAACCAAGTTTCAACACTTACCACAAGTTGGAAATGTTGGAAATATCTTTGATTACCGTATTCAATGGATTTGATAGACCGAACGAATGAACGGATAACAAAAGTTGAATTGACACCCGTACAATTGCCAAGTGCCGAGAACTATCACACTTCAAAACTTTGAGTTTATTGAATTTAATTGAAATCTCTTTCACAATTTTATTCCTATTTTCGTTTTGTTTTGTCGACAATTTAATGCCTACTTAGATTAGATTCACTTATTAATTGGAAGCAAAGCTTTTTCGCTACGAATTTGATCCTCAAACTAATTTTTGATACTATTTACTTCACTTTTGTATTATTCTGTCACGTTGCACATGCTTTGAATTTGTAGCGAATGGCAATTTTGTGCAATATATTTTTTGTTATCCAAAGCAGGGTTTCCCGTTTCAAACTGTAAATGACAGTAAAAATGCTACAATGTGTGCTGGCTACTTTTTTTTCTTCCCTTCAATGACAAGCGAAATGGGTTCGTTTTTCTCCGTATTCGCGTTTTGTTCGCTTCTTCTTCTTCTTTTATTTTATTTCGGTAATGTTTTTGGTTTCGATTGACGTACACGCCTGTCAAGCGCTACAAATTCGAACCATTTAGAGTGAAGCTCAGCGATGTTCTGGTGGAAAATTGAACTCAAATCCACTGCCAAACCATACACACAGTACACATTCTCACTCTCACTCATACACAACGTGCACGCATATCATTGAACCTTAACCGTTGCGCCATCCATGCTGAATAACAGCCTAGCAGCGTCACAAAGTCGTTCATGGCGGCAAAGCAACGACAACATAAACGGACGACAACGGCGACCATTTCATCCTATTTTTTTTCGTTTTATTTTCCTGTTTCGCTACTTTTTTATTTGTTGCCATTGTTCGGTGTGCGATTCGGGTTGAAGTTATTACGTAAATGGTGAATTGTCATACACACCATTATCAGAGGCGTCATGTGCATGCGCAAAACACGTCACATTGAAAATTTTGTTGTGCTTTACCGTTTCAACAGCAGCAAACGGCAACGATGAGTGGATGTTATGCCGTCGCAAAAGCGGACATTCCTGAAAGCTATCCTGATTGCCGTGCCATTTACGACGACAATAACGACGACGACGAGGACTACGACTACGGCAGTGGTGGTAGCGACAATAAAATATATAATATGTATTCTAAAATCGGGCGCCTACGTACCGTTTTTCGACATCCTAATGCTTTCGCTTCATACAGAATCGCATTACACATTCAATCTCGAATTTTCCCAAATAGAATTACGAATGAATATTTACGAGAACGAGAGAAGGGGAGAGATGGAGAGAGGAGAGGATGTTACAGAAAGGCAGATGGCAAGAGATATTCGGTAGCGGACGAAAAAATTTTTGCCAAATATCCTTCCATTCGATGTAAGCATGTTTGCGATCGAGTGACGTGCAAATGTGAAAACACACGTATACATTATTTACATTCAACCACCATGCATGATGTGCACTGCATAAATTTTCGCATTGAATATGAATTTGGATGATACAGTTACAGAGAGAGAGGGAGGAAAGAAAGAGCAAGCAAACCGTTGAGAAAGAGTGGGATCAAAAGAATAACACATCATTTCACAAAATGTTTTTTATTGAATTTTTAAAAACCATTTAAATCACTTTTTAACAATTTCTTAGAGGTCTATTACATTAACATTTTCTAAATCAGTTTAAATTATATGTATATTTATATATTATATGCACGATAATTATTTATACAAAAAAGTATAAACGAAATTGTTTCTTTTTCCCTCACAGGGTTTTTTGTTTGTTTTTGAAAGCAAAATGTGAATGCAAAAAAAATCAAATCGAAAAATTTTGATTCAACAAAATGCGAACATACTCACATCCAAATCTTCGAAAATAAATAATAGCTTGAAAAAAAATGAACTAAATCAAAAACAAAAATAAAAAATTAAACAATCTCGAAATTTTCAGCACTGCTCATCGAATATTATTATGTAAACGGGCATCAGCAGCAATGTGTCAGTACAGTGGCTGAACCGTTGTGTTTGTTTGTTTGTTTGTTTTTTTCATTTTATTAAATGCATAAATAACTGTTGTTCTAGTACTATGATGAAAATAATAAATAAGCGAATTTTCAATAAATAAATTTGAATAAATTAATAAATAATTAGATAAATTTAGTTTTCATTACCAAGATATATGTCCATTCAAACAACAGTCGATACATTCATTTGTACAAGCATTAAATAAAAAAAGTATTGACTACACAAATTAGCTCCAGTCTGTATAAAAAAAACTGCATAAACGTTTGTTTGTTTTTACATGCTTTAACAAACGTTTCTCTTTTTTTCTTTTTTTTTCTAATTTCAATTAATATTTTATAAATTAGAGATGGGTCACCTAACAAAATAAGCTAATTTGTCTGTGTTATTGCATTCTGGTTTTGTTGTTGTTGTTGTGCGTATGAAAAGATAAATTTGTAAATGAATGAACATTTTTTTGTTGCTTATTCACATCCAACTGAGAGATTTGTTCACTCTCAGTTTCGTCGTTGTTCAATCAATAATGAAAAGTTCATGTGTTTTTTCCAGTTTCTGTTCGTTCGTTTTTGTCCGTGATCAGAGGGAAATGGGGTAGGACAGGAAAATAAAGTTTAATGTGCGTGGGACGATGTACTTATGCATATTCGTTAGCATGCATTTATGCACATGTGTGAGTGTTTGTGTGTTTGTGTATGTTAAACTATTTTAGCGCATTTGTTCCGCTTGCATCACTTCAAACTCCTGTTATGCTCTCCAACCATGGTTTATAGTATGTCGTTCGCATATAGACACCTGGTAAGTACGGTGCTGCACATTTAATACCATGTGACACAGTTCCAGCTAACTCCCATCTTCCATCAGAACGTTGTAAAACAAGTGGTCCTCCAGAATCACCCTGCAAAAGAGAAATAAACACAAATACACCCACATTTAATTTATATTCAATACGTGTGTTCGATGCCAATTATATATTCCATTCGCTCAATAATTTTCACATTGTGTACTACATGACGATTTTGTGAGTTGGGCGTCTATGACAGTGGCACACGCACAATCAGATAAACAGAGTTTTATGCTCTGTAACGAACCTAGTGGACGAATGATTTAATTGTGCGTTTGTTTAGTTTGTGCGAGGAGGGGGTCTCCTATTCTTCAGAGATTGCAGATTAAATTGATTCAAACAATACGGAATAGACTTTATTTGTCTTAATACGCTGAAGTTGACATCAGTAGATGGTACTTGAGTGATTTTAGATACTTCAAGCATCCAGCAAAACTCGGGTCTCATTGGTCAAAGTATCAACTAACTTATTTCGCTTGGATGCTTGGAGTTTTCAATGATTGACAAATAAATAAAAAAAACTTTATAATTTCACTCGTGTCAGCGACTATATAAACATGAAGACACATTCCGAGTACGGTTCGGTGTGGGAGAGCATTTTCCATCAGCACCAGTGCAAGAATGCGGAGGGTGCCAACTCAAATTTCCCAATCGGGAAAAAAGGAGATATTGTTACGTGCGCCAAGTTCATAAAACAAAGTTCAAAGCGAGTATAGCGTGTGTTTGGTTTTGTGTGTGCGAACTTTTTCTTCCAATAACTTACTTCACAGGAATCTTTTTGGCCGTTTGCGTATCCTGCACATAAGAATGATGGTAATATTTTCTTATTGTGTCCAGCTGTGTGGAACATTTCCTGGCATACACTGTTTTCGATGATTGGCACCTAGAAAACGAAGCGAAAAAGAAGGGAAAAAATAAACGAGAATTAGAACGGAACGAACAATTTATCGCACACATTTGGAATTCGGATATTTCGGCAATAAATTTCCCGGCGAAATAATTTTTCCGGTAATTTGGTCTACGTATATATATATATATATATATATATATATATATATGTTTTCGTGTAATTACTTGAACTTCTTGCAGAACTGATGGAACGCCGCCGCCGTACTTAAGACGTCCTAAAATAAAAATGGATGAACAATGTTTTGTATGAGCTTAGAGAGTTCAAAAGTTTAAGAAAAAAAATGGTAAATTACCCCAGCCCGTAACAGTTGCCATGCGACCGGTGAATTCCGTTCCATCGACTGGCATACAAATCGGAACTGCAAAAAATACCAAAAATAAACCACAATTTACTTTCAAGTATGAGACGAAAAAAAACATGAACAAAAATAAAAGCAACGTTTCCACGAAAATGCTGGAAAGCAACGCCCCACTCACCAATATGCGTGTCATAGTGAATTGGACTCTCCAGTTCGAGCAAAGCTAAATCATTTTCAAATGTAGCCGCATCATATTCACGATGAACGACAATATGTTTCACATTTTTTGTCACTGATCGCTTCTTTTCCACATCCCCTGAAATATCAAATTCACCGAACACTGCCACCAGCGAAGCCAAGAATCTAACAAAAATAAAATGTATAATCAAAATTACAACATTAAAATATATACGGACGTAATTGATATATGTGACTTCGAATCGTGGATCCACTTACCCAGGTTGACAATGTGCAGCAGTCATAACGTAATTTTTCGTTATCAATACACCTCCGCATTTATTTTTGGTAAATAAACCCAACCAAGTTGATTCACGGACTAGAACTTGCCACGGCCATTCACCAAACGTTGCACCTTTTCCGCCAACGATTCGGCCCGATTTCACGTGTGGTCGAACACCGCACTCTATGACACAATGAAGCAACCGCATTAATTAATGAAGGGGAAAAAATGGGAAAAAAATGACGGCAATTTAGATTGGATCGAATAACATGTGTTTCTTCAGAATTGAAGGTGATATGTAGACTTGACATGACAATGAATGGAATTTAACATTTAAAATGAAACACTTACGAACGCGCCCGCTTTCAAAGTATGGTGTGCTTTCCTCTTCACCCGTTTCTTCGCCAACATCCTCTTCTTCCTCTTCAACAGCGTCGGTAACCTCATCGTATTGCTGTTGCACGGTAGTCGTTGGCTGTCGCTTCGGTGGTTTTGTTGTTGGTCGTTTTGTGGTTGTAACCTGTGTGTATGGGTGCAAGCAAAAAACGTATATCGAATCATTTTAGTGGAAAGTCTTTAAAATTGTGCATTCCATTGTAAGGCAACAGTCTGCATACCCGATTCAGAACGGTGGTTGGTGGTTTTTTCGTCGTTTTTCGATTATTCACCGGACGACTTGTCGAAGGTTTGCTTAAGGTGCTTGGACGTCTAGTAGTGGTGGTTGTTGCTCGTTGTGGTGGCTTTTTCGTTGCTAAAGTCGTAATCGGCCGTTGTTGAATGGTCGTTGCCGATGGTGCTGGTCGTCTCGTTACCGTCTTATTCTCAACAATATCGGCCAAATCATGGAAATTGTCTTTCAGGGATTCAACGATTTTGTTCACCAATAAATTCATTTTGTCATTAAGCAATTCATCTTCAATGAATTGTGGCGTTGAAATATCATAGTCTTCGATTGTAGCGCTGGCAATTTGCGCAGTTCCGTTTAAGTTTGGATTTCGTACTGGTGGAAAATTGATTAAATCATTCGGTGAAGTGTACACTTCTTCGTTTGGCGTTGCTGTTGCAGGGAATCCATTTTCATCGAGCACCGCATAGATCGATGCAGACGTAACGGTTTGCTGTATATTTGCAATGAGAGGACGTTGTGTGGTCGATGCTAAACCATAGTAGCCTGGATCGTCGAAATCGTTTGACAAAATTGGACCACCGCCTGGTGTGTAAATCGATGGTTCGCTTTGACCCGGACGCTTCGTCAGAATCGGACTGTACGAGACATATTGCGATGTGTTTGGTATTTTGGGTGGTGTGTATTTATTCAAGTCTGGGCTCACAGTCCAACTTGTGCTGGACGAAACGAAATGGCTGGCCGTTGGTTTCGGTGTTATATGTATTGTTGGCGATGGATTTTCTGTTGAACCTACGCAATTAAGAAGGAAAAACAGAACATTATCAATATTAACGATTCAAAGCGTAGACAACGAAATACAAGCCGTAATAAGAAAAGTTCACAAAAGATCAAATTGAAACTAACCAATTCCATATGGACCAAGAACGATGACAGTCGGCGCCGGTGTACTCGAGCCAATCTTATTAATTACTGGTACTTCCGATGATTGTGGTCGGTTTGGTGTTGTATATGATGAGACGGGTGCCGGTTTTTTCGTTGCCGAATACGTTGGTCGTGACGGTGTGGGTCCGCTTACGTAGCTGGTCGATATTGGGCGTGTTGTGCCTTTTTGCACCGGTTTTTTCGTGTTTGTCGTTGCCAATTTGGTGGGCTTTTTCGTTGCTGTTGTCGTTGAACTGATTCGATTTGGATTGGAACTCGATGATGTGGGCCGTTTTGGTATAGCCGTACTGTAAACGTAACTGGTTGACGGTGACTTCGTTGTAATGGGGCCGGTGTGTGTGAGAATGGGAATTTTTTGGAAAACGGTTGCCAATGTCGACGGTGTCGAGGATGGTGTGAAGAGTGATGTTATTGCATTCTGGGATGTTGTATAGGTGACATTGTACAGCGGTGGACGTTTCGTTGACGGAACATATGAAATGGGAACGGGTGTCGTTGACGACGGTAATTTGGTTGTGATATAGAAGCTGCCACTCGATGATGAGCTGCCATATTTGGTGGGCAATCCGCTGCTCGTGTACTCATAAGTGCTTTGAGGTTTACCATCGGTATTATATTGTGGACCGGTTTTGGAGTCATTCAACATCAGAATGATTGACTCAATGGAATTGATTTCATTGTCATAAACAGGGCCACCCGGTTTCGATGACGGACCATTCTTATCATTTGTCAGCGTTTGCACCAAAACATACTTATCCGTTGTGCCATATTTTGATGGTGTCGGTTTGGTTTGATGTGGCTGCTTTGTGTTTGGCACTTTTTTCTTATTTGGATTGAGTGTGCCAAATGTGGTGAGTGAATCCGTAACTTGTGTCGGTAGCTCTGGACTGTAAACTTGACCCGTTGAATGCGATGACAAATAAATCGATGTTTTTTCCGGTGTGGTTGGCTGTGATGTTTCAATTAAAACCGTATCGCTCTCACCATAGCTACCATCATTCGATGGCACATGATTATCATTTCCATTGAATGGTTCGAGTGGATTCAAAAGTGGTTTGTTGTAATCATCAATAACCGCTTCATTAACCGCCAACTGACAGCAGGCACCGAACAAGAATCTGTACATTTTATGTTGAAAAACAGAAAACCAAAAATTGAATTTTCATAAGCATGGGAGAGAGCACGAACATAAGTAATTAAAGAAAAGAATTTGATTAAATGAGTTTGGCTGTTGCTGCTGCTTATTGCTTACCCATCCATGCAAGCGCCGACTACTTCACCGTGTCTTTGTGAGCATTCATGATTAAACATGCATATGGTTGGTCCTTCAGCTCGTGGATCTCCTTTCGGTAGGATTTTCGATGGTTTACAAAATTTGGGCGTTATTCGGTATCCGCCAAATAATTTGCGCTCCCCTAAACACGCAACCATCATACAAACGAAATTGAAAATAAAAGAAAAATAATAAAAAAATCTTCATAGTGTATTAAGAGATTTTTGATGACGAGCTTTTCTCGTCGTTTTTTGATGAAATATTAATTGGATTCGGCGGAGAATGACAAGTTTCAAGTTTAATGAGTTTTTCGACGCGTAGCGAGGAACTCATTTGGCATTGCTTTTATTATATTGCTTATTGCGTTGATGGCGTAAATGTTTGGTAATTGAATTTTTGATGATTTTAGCTTATTAAGACTCCCAAATGCGTGTGGAAAACTACATAGGAAAAATAAATAATGAAACCGAAAACATCTAAAGTAATATGCATAGTACACACACACACATACGTTGTTTGTTCATATGCAGAGTAAGCGATAACAATCGAACCCACGCACACGCTACGCTAAAAAGTAATAACATGTGTATGAAAAGAAAAAAAACCGTTTCATTCATTCGTTTGTTCGTTGTTTGGATGGGATGGGATGTGTGTTCCATCATCTAGCCGTCGTCGCCACTGTTGTTCATTCATCTTGGTCCCCATACCCACTTTAAGTGCATATTGTTTGGATACGACGTGCAGATTTGCTTAATGTGCTGTTTGTTTTCTGTTATTAAAGTTGAAAATAAAAGTTGACCCATTTTCTTATCCAATGTTGGGAACGTTCGAAGTAAAAAAAAAGATCTAATAGCCATGAAGCAACAATGCAACGAAGCAACTATAGAAGAAAAAAACAGTATAAAACGAAGAGAGGAGCTCCGTTACTGTACATGCGGCCGGAACATGCAGGAACAAATCGACTGAATGATAAAAATGAAAAGACTACGAAGAACGAAGCACAGAAAGATAGAAATGACACAAACACCAAACTCACTTGCCGTATAAGTAGCGCTCGGCACAAGTGAGCCAAGTGAGTAAAACTAAACAAAGTCAAACCGAATAAATATGAGCGAAGAAAAAGAAAGAAGAAAAAAATCACAACGAAAACACCTTACGGGTGTTTTTTTGGCTTCGCACGCGGACCGCATATATAGTATATGAGGAGCGCGAGTCTTTGCTTGCGCTTCTGTATGGCATTTAAGTATGCTTAATTTCCGTGCAAAGTGTATTTTTCTGTGCCATTAATGTAGTTGGTATGTATGTATATATATATATGTGTGTGTGTGTGTGTGTGTGTGTGTGTGTGTCCTATATCTTTTTCGTTTTACCTAGATTTCGAAGTACAAATGCGCGCACGATGACGACGTTTGACTGTTTTACTTTGGTTTAGCCAGCGTCGTCGACATAAAAGCCACCTAACTTGGCGAAACCATCGAAAGAGTAAAAATGTAAAGAAGTTCAGCACAGAGCGAAGAAGAAACATAAAATTCTACACACAATCACAATCACACAGCGCTAGGTATTCCGATAATATTCACAGTGAGTCACCAACATCTCCTCTCAAACACTCACACTGCGCACTGTACGGCATTGGCACTGACACTGGAACAAACACACACACACACACATTCGATGCGAGTAGATTACAAATAATTAGAAACGACCAACAAACGAATAATGATGATAATAAAAACGAAAAACGAATTATAGGCCATTAGAGTATAACGCGCTGTTTGCCAATCAAGAATGATGCTAACTTGATGAGCCGTATTTGAAAGCGCTGACATCTAGAGAGTACATCATGCGCACTTGGCTTCGCACAGTCGTCGTCGTCGTCGTCGATAATGCAATGGCGGTTGGTGAGAAATATGCAGGTATCTTGATTGGATGACGATATGTGGTGTGCGGCGGTAGAGTTGTTGTTGTGTGGGCCAGCTACGACAAGTCAACACTCGCACTCGCACGAGATAGAGATGAAGATGACCATAAACAAATTAGTGGAAATTTTCATGTTCCCATATCGTGTGCTGTTGTGCATTTCTGTGACCTGTTAAAGTGCTGGGAAAGGGTTTTTTTAATTAAGCAATTGCTCAACTATCGGATGAAATAAGAGAGTTTGTCATAGAATTCTTCACACGAGACCACCGCATACCGGACAGCATGCACACCAATTATGCCATATCCCATGATGATGGATGAATCATGTATGAATCGATGGAAATTGACGTGTATCCAATATTATCACTGCATGAATCACAGCCAGAGTACAAGCTACCAAGCGCTTGTCTCATCATAATTTGATATCCATATGCTTTTCCCTTCATGTCTAACGCGTTTATGATGTATAAATTGGTTTTTTCTTTCTATTTTTCGATTAACACATTGTCGACCATTTTCAAAGTGAGAAAAACGGGGTCGTGAAACTTCTCAGCGGAAGCAAAGTTCAAGCGGACATTTGTCATGGTAATTTTACTGCGAAACAAATATATGCGTTTTTCCTCTCTCAAACATTCACTTAATACTTCTTTTGTTATGTACGTTAATTTAGATAATTAAATTGAAACCATTGTAAAAAGAGGGAAAATTGAACTGATTTTGTGCCTACGTACATTTTTATACGTATTCAATTTTCAAATTGTCAATTAATTGTTTTCACATTTTTTTTTCAATAGGCCTCGGAAGAACACATCGTCGAAGGCAGAAAAAAATGTATTAATTCGCCCGATGGAATTTCAAGAACGACTGATTTACCTTAAATGCCGTTCAAATTAGTTCTAGTAATTGGTTGGTGACCGGCGTCGCCAATTTGGTTTTATGAGCGAGAGAGAAAAAAATCGCATAAAGAAAATGGAATCAAGTTAAGTAATATTGAACATTTGATTTATTGTCCCATATTTTAAATGTGTCGCGTCTCTCTCGCTCTCTCTCTCTCTCTCTGTTCATTTGCACAAGGCCTGCTTATGTGCCTCTGCCTGCTCATAGCCTCACATTACATCTACGCAAATTCACTGGCATGCCATTGAAACGATATTTATGTACATCCCGTAACATAATTTCTCTGCATGGGCACAGCAAACTATTTTCCACCCGTGGTTTGTCGCGCTCGCGCCATTTGCGCTCGTAACTTCGTCGTCTTTTTGCTTTCAGTACACATTCATAATGCAATGGAACGAATGCCAGTTATTACATTTAGTGTAATTGTTACATGTGATCAAAGCGCTTTCAATAAAGTATTCAGGACATAACGGCATTTTAATACTTGAAGCGCATCGTTCTATATTGAATTATCATCCATTGGTAAAGTGGGAGAGAGAGAAAGAACACGAGCGTGCTCGACGACTGTGTAAGCGTACACACATTGGGAGAACGAAAGAGAAAAGGTGAGAGATAGATCAATAGAAGGAAAGAGAGACGCGTTAGCACATATGGATACCATAGAATAATCAAATATGAAGCACAGAAAATGAGTCAGTAAATCATAGCGTAAAATATGCTAATGCGTGTTTGTGTGTATGGCACACAGCACCTAGCTTATTTCGATTCGATCTAATTTATGGATTGGCAATTAATTTACGGTCAATAAAGGTTCTTTCTGTTTGAATCTCATGCTTCGGCTTGTACTCCGAATTATGCTTATAACAATGCGATTAGTATTTGGCGGATAGTTATGCTCTACGGTTAAAATGTGTTTACGGTTCACATTTTGCATTTATTCATAAGCGATATTATACGGTAATTCATATAGCGCAAAAATAAATAGATATGCCAATTTATGATTTTCGTATTTGTATTCAAAATGCAGAGCGCGCGCAATGCCGAAAATAAAGCGAACTATGCCAAAAAAAAATAGTCACCAAAGAGGAAATAGCCTAATAATTTGTATTCAATTCGATTAAATCCGTTTTTGATGAATGTGAATCGGAGCCGAATACTTTTTTTTTTGTCGGCCGTCCGACTCTATTCAAAGGCGACTTTCACTCGTTCCGTGAATCAATTCGATCGTGATTTTAACCAACCGTTTTTCGGCTACTACTGCTCATTAGTTAAACGGGTTTGAACTTACTTGTGCTGTGTGAGAGCAAGAAAAAAGGCAGAAAAAGAAGTATTTTTTCGTTTGAGCATGCTATTTGAATATTCATTGATTGGTTGAGGTGTGTGTTCTAGTGATTTCCAAATGATCAAATAACTTTTACTTTTCGATGAGGCGTCTATTTGCTGACGTAGAGATCCGAGGAAATCTATTCGAATATCGGTCAATATTTGCGAGATATTTAAGAGTTATTGATATTCGCATGCGGATATATATTCGAGTATTATTATTTCGTTATTGTTGTTGTTGCTGTTGATCATTTTCGTTATTTGTGTTAAGTGGAGGCAATATGTATTTTACTTTCATCGTTATATTGTTGTTGTGTTTTTTGGTTTTATTTGCATTTCGTCGATATTCTTGGTGTTTATTCGTCGAAATATAATGCCGAATCGATTGAAAAGGAAAATCGAAGACAATCATGAGCCGTGCTATTCAAGATAATCGGCACAAAATCGGTGTGTGTGTGTGTGTGATTTTTTTTTTCGTAGAAAGCATTTAGAAATATCTTAATATTATGATTGTGATTGGCATTAAAATCAAACAAAATAAAAATGAGGCGAAAAAAGACCGAACGCAAATGAAAAAAAAAAGTTATGAGAAAGTCAACAAGAGGACAAAATAGCAAACAAAAGAAAATGATAACGACATGGATTAGTTTTTTCTGCAAAGAATTTTTTTGGTGCAAACGCAAGTGAATTAGAAAGCGGCAATGGATTCAACGTTCTATTTATCTGGGAATATAATCGAAATCGCATCCCCAGTGCCCTTTCGCGCTCTCTCTCTCTCTCTCTCTCTCTCTCTCTCTCTCTCTCTCTCTTTTACTTACGAAAGAAAAAAAAAATCTCAAGCCGTTTAGCAAGTACTTAATGTTCCCACCGAGAGTCATTGAATTGCGCACATAATGCACATCTGATGATAACACACCGGTACACTTGACGCAAGCGGCAGTGGTGGTGATGGCGGCACTAAATTATGTTGTAAATTTCGCTGTAATTCAGACTAATTGGAGT